GAAAGCGATAGACACACATATATATAGATTTGATTGAATCAACTTTTTCTAAAAAAGTTTGTTCGAAAATTTGTTTGAATGTTTAATATAATATTATAAACACATTTTTACTTAAAATAATTTCATAACTGATTATTAAAAATGTTAGTTCAAAACATTTTATCATAAGTTGTTATAATTATAAATACAACATTCAATTAGTTTTTAGAATAAAGTAATTATTTAAGACATTTTTATTAATTTAAATTTTAAACTTGTTTTTTTAGTAAAATATATGAATTGAATTGATTTTAATATAAAAATTATTGTTTGAAAGTATTTATTGATATAAAATCATTTGCAAAATAGGCGGAACTAGATTTTAGGGAATAACTTCTCTCTGGATTGGAATTTAAAAAAAAAATATTTAATATGTAAATATGGTTTTCTGGGACGAATACATTAGTTTTGCTACTTTGTATGTATACTGGCACTGGTATGCTAGCACCAGGATGTTCTATATCTCATAAACAATAGGAGATAGGAAAATTAATTAAAAAACAAATTATACACCATTTAAAATGAGTTGACACGTGTTTTGGCAATTTTTAAAATATTAATTTTCCGCCTATTTTGGAAATGATTTTATATATTTAGACATCTATTAATAGCATTATACTCTAATTGTAAACTTTACTGTCTTAGAGTCTAACAATTGAATAGATGTGTTGAAAAATATGAACTTCATATACAGTATTATTATATATTATATATTAATAATATGACATTAATTTTATCATTGATTACACCCAACAATCAATGAGACTCTAATCTTAAAACTCGACTGTTTTCTACTGTTGATTGTTTATATTAAAAATATGTTAAACCATACTTTAAATGTAAAAATGACAATAAAATGACATAATTATAGATAATATTGTAATCTTTGGTCAATCTATGATTAATTGCAAAACAAACTATAATTGCATTGACTTCTAGAAAAAATAGTCGACTAGCAGTTGATTCAATTGTCTATAATATTATAGTTTGTTTTGCAATTAATCAAAGATTAACCTAAGATTACAATATTGTTGAGTTTAATATTATCTATAGTTATGCCCTTGGTCATTTTTATATTTAAATTATGGTAAACAACATATTTAATATAAACTGTTAACAGACGAAAACAGTCGAGCTTTAAGATAGTCTCACAAAAAATGCAATATTCAATACATTAATAATTTATTTGATTCAATATTTTTAAAATATATATTAATATAAGTATTATAAATACTGTATATTATATATTATATGATTATCTAATATATAAACGACAATTTTATTGATCAATGATGACTCCAAAATTATTGATCATTTTTTGTCTGAAAAATTTATTAATTTAATTTAATAATAACTGAAATCATAAGATTTATTTTAATCTAAAATTATTTATACATAATATCTAATAATGAAAAATTTATAAATATTTTCAAATCAATAAAAAATAATACAATTATATCATAAACATAGGTATATTATATTTTTTCTACTACTATATTAATAAATATTTAAAACATGTTTTATTATTATACTTATAAATCCTACTTATTAATGTAACAATAATTGTTATAAAATGTTTTTTTTGTGTCAAAATATAATAAATAATATAATTAATTAATTAATTATATTTAGTTGTCTTTGTCAAACAATTCTAAAATATTAAATTATCAAAAATAAAACAATTAATAATTATTTTAAACTTTAGAAAACAAAAACAAATAAAACAAATCGCCGACAGCTATATTAAATTCCGACTGTCCTCAGGATTTATGGCACCTTTAAGTCCATTGAATACCTGTTTATGATAATTATCGATAGCTTATCGACAAAATTGTATTCAAGTAAATACAGTATTTTTTGGGAAAAATATCAATTAATGGGTTTATATGATAAGTATTGCCAGTAGTGGACAAAATAATAAAAATATATTTATTTTTTCAGTTATTTCCTATAATATTATTGGTTGTGGACTTTTGATTGGTAACAACAAACAGAAAACAAAATCTTGAAAAATAGCCTTGAAACATTCAATACCCTCAATATATTATTTATAATGCACTGTATTATTAGTACATACAATACAGGTATTTGTCTGTATTGGTTATGGCATATACTGTATATATATGTGTGTGTATGCATGCATGTATGTACTACTACCTGAGAACTTTGAATATAAAATATAATAATAATAATACCTGAAAGGTAAGTGTCTACACATGTTGTGTCTCCCGGAGCAACCATCAAATGGGATATATGCGCACAAATGTATTGGCAAAAACATATATACATTTTTGCTCAACATTTATATTATATACATATAATACATTAAATGAAACATTAAATATCTCAATAGTAATAAATAAATAAAATTATAATAACTTATCATCTTTTTTGTTTGTTTGTTACATAAAATGAAAAAATTATATTTATTACAGCCATAGTTGAATAGTGTATTTCCCTAAAAAACTGTGATATTTAATACTATTTGTATAATCAAAGAGCTATTAATTTTATCTCAAAAAAAAACTTTTGTTTATATTTACTATAATTTATGTATTGATAAAAAATATTTTTTTTATAAACATATAATGTTTATTATGTAATAATATTTACAGTATTATTAGTAAATGTGTTGAAACCATATGATTTTAATTTTTTTTACAAATGAATGACAGCCAAACAAAAATCATTTTAAAAATTGTAATAAAATAAATAAATAATAATATTATTTATCAATTATTTTTGTTTATCATCTATTTTGTTTTATTATTTTTGTGTTATTTTTTAAATATAGTTTTTATAAGAGTGATTATTAATAATTATATTTTTGTGTTTAATGTTTAATTATAGTAAGTATAAAAATTAATTAATTATTTGATTATATATTTGTAAAATTATAATTTATAGAAATGAATTAAAATTAGTATAAATTTATATTATATTTTAGTCATTATTTATATTAAATATTCGATCTATTCATTCAATTGACTATATTTGCTATAAAATATAAATTATCCCTAAATATTGTGTCAATATTGTTGTTAGCATTTCCTTTATAGCACTGGATATCCTATTTAAAAAACAGGACTTTCGTTAAATATTAGGCTATGAAATCATTTTTACTTTCAATCTTTTTTGATGTTTAGTTAGTGAGACACAGAAACTTCCTGAAACTTTCAAATATATAGCCCAGAAATATTAACCTAGAAATTAAAATTATTGTTGATTTAAGCAAATATTTATAATAAATAAAATTATAGTATAGATTATGCTTACCGTATAATCCCGTATATACCTCCTGGCCATCAGGGGCTATATGTGAAAATATGAGGTAATAAGTGAGATATAGCCCCCCCTAACAAATGATTAATTTAATGAATTCACAAATAGCCCCACTGTTGAAGTTTTTGAATATCTGTAGATAAAATTACATTCAACCATATCATCCAATGGTTTCCTACCCCACGACTTTACATATAGCCCCAGTGGTGCGGTATATGTGAAATACAGCCCATACCAAATGTATGAAATGATTTTTAAATTTCAAAAATTTGTGAGGAGGTATATACGTGATTATACTGTATATTATTATTGTAGATTACGTTAATATATTTATAATGAGAAAATTATCTATAAATTAATTTAAAAGACAATATACTTAATAAGCTTAATAATATAAAAAAAAATCATAAATATAAAAAATTAAGTTATAAATTATTAAATTAAAATAATTTTCTAACAATATTATATTAATCATTTCATTAGTGAGTCATATAATTGTTTTTTGTTGTTAAATTTTAACAGATAATTGCAAATAATTTAATATTATATTTGAAAATTTTGTTTAGTTTGTGTCATTGTTCTTATAGGGTTTTTTGTTAATTAATATAAGCATTGTTTATTATAAATACCTACAATACATATGAATTATTTTGCCATTTATTTGACAATAAAACATATAATAATTATTATTTTGTTAATTTATTGTCTGCTTAAATATTAATGACATTAGACTTATTATTGGTTTGCGTGAATCAAATATGTTATTCAATATAATCAAGTTTTCTCTAAATGTTTATTATAATAAATATTTTATTTTAGTTAATCTTTTGAATATATTTTTGCACTTCAATACAATGTTTATTTTATCGCAAAAACAAATTACTATTAATAAGTTATTTAATATTAATAATAATAAATGATATTTAATATATTGTATTACTTATAATAAATTTATACACATATAACTTATAAACATTTCTTGATACATAAAAATACAGTATAAAATGTCAAATATTAATTATAAAGATAACTTGAAACAAAGATATAATATACAATACAATGATAAATATATAATTTTTAGTCTTATTTTTTATGTTTAAGTAATTTAATAATAGAAATTATTATTTTACTGTTAATTCATTGTTTATAATTATGGTTATTAAATATCTTAATATAAAAATAATAATAAAGTTTTTCATATCAAAATATTAATTTCAAACCATTTTTTTTGTTAAAATACTAGACTTTAAACTTTTTAAATATTTTTTTCACTTATCTTTAATTCTACATTAATATTGTTACTTAATATTTGTACCGTAAATGTAATCAATATTTACTATCGGATATGATATTATCAAATAACACTTTGATTTTAAACTTAATTCATATCTTAAATGCTTTAATACATGAGTTGATATATTTAATAATTATTATAATAATACTTGTGATAATATATTGAGATAAAGTATAAAAACACTTACATTTGATTGACATTTAATTTATTATTATATGATCTTATTTTCAGTTTCATTACCATCTAATACTAATCATCAAACTAATAAAAAATTGGAGTTTAATTTGTGTCAAATTATGAATTCAAAATATATTTTCGACTAATATTGAAATTTTGGAAAATTATTAATCGTAATAATTAATTATCGTAAACAATATACTGTATATAAAATCATGAAACAAATGTTTTAAATCAAAATTATTTTATGTGAATCTGAGATATATTTAACTATAATTATTGTAAAAACATGAAAATAACGTTAAACAGTGATATTCAAAGTAGTGATAATCTTTCGATAATCAATGGCCAACACAATGACTCAGAACCCGTCGGTATTAAAGTGGCCGCTATTGACGAGTCATTGCTTTTACATCAAACTGTAGACATACTATTAGCGGGCAATACGGACACAAAGTGTGAAGTGGAGTTGACCGGCACTTGTCTTCAATACCGATATCGGGATAACCGACTAAAAGATAAATGCAAAATCATATATGTTGTCGATATAATCGGCTGTTCTGTTAGTGATGCCACAGATGAGTCCAAAGTTGTCCTCAATATCATTGCCTATCGTATACGTCGTGGTCGGCGTAAACGAAAGTCAGTAAAATTAGTATTCAGTGGTTACGGGAGTCGTGACCACAATTACGAAGAGGCCATTAAATGGAAGCGAACAATAATGAGTCTAAATTACGGTCCATACGGTATCACTGGTCACGGCCGACACAAACCGCTAATGTTTATCGTAAACCCTAAGAGTGGTCGCGGGCGGGCACTCAAGATATTTGAGGACTTCGTAAAACCACTGTTGAAGGAAAGCGAGACGTTATATGAATTGCAAATCACAGATCACGCCAATCATGCATTGGAACTCATGAGAGATACGGATGATCTCACCAGATATCGGGCTGTAGTTGTCGTGTCTGGCGATGGACTACTCTATGAAGTGGTCAACGGTCTGACTAAGCGCATGGATACCATAACTGAGGAACGTTTGCCCGTGACGTTAGGTATAATACCTGGTGGTTCTGGTAACGGATTGGCTCATTCAGTGAATCAGGCATTTCTTAACCATCAGAAAGCAGTTGATTCCATATATGACTGTGTACTACATGTGCTTCAGGGACATCCATTACCCATGGATTTGGTACGCGTAACGACTGAGCAAAATGTTTATTTCTCATTTTTATCACTCGGTTGGGGACTAATGGCCGATATCGACATCGAGTCTGAACGGCTCCGGGCGTTAGGAGAGCCGAGATTCACTATTTACGCACTCTATCGGTCTTTTGCCTTACGAAAGAACAGGGCTCGACTCAGTTATCTTCCGACACAAACCGACTCATCGGATGTTCCTGTTTTAGCCGAACCGGTTGGCAAAGATTGGGTAACAATTGATGACCAATTTATTCAGATTTATGCCTCCTATCAATCGCACATAAATTCAACGGCAATATTTGCTCCCGAGGCCACACTAGACGACGGTATTATTTGGCTGCTATTTTTACGAAGTAAAGTTAGCCGTCGTCAGGTCATACAGTTTTTATTGGCACTGGAAAAAGGCAGACACCCGGCACTGCCCTACGTTGACTTTGTCCCGGTCAGGGCTTTCCGTATAGAACCGTATAATAATATCGGCAAAATGACTGTCGACGGTGAACTGGTCGAGTCGGGTCCCATACAGGCCGAAGTTGTGCCCCGTATGGCCACTATATTGACCCGATAGTTGTGTCACATGAATCGGGAAATTGTTATTTATTTTTCTAAGTTGTTTTTAAACTCATTTTTATTGTTTTAATTTTAATAATAAATATATATTGAAAGTCTTTGATAACCTCATAGATAGGTCTCGATATACACTACAAGTAATACAAGTAAATGATATTTTGTAATAATAATAATAATTAATGAAATAATTATTTTTTCAAATAATCATTTTTATAAATATAAAATAACTATAATTTTTTTATAAAGCATGATAGTATTAAGTTTATATTTATTTATAAATTATTATTATTATTATAATTAGATATTGTTAAAAACAATATGTGAACTAGACAAACTGTGAAAAATAATTAAATATTTTTAAATATGAAAATATTATTTATGAAAAATATGTATTTCTAATAATAATTATTGTAATAAAATTTATTAAATGTCATTCAGTTTAATTTTAATACCATTAAAAATAGTTATAATATTATTGATAGTTTGCTAAAAGTTGACTAACCATCGGTTCGGGTCAATGACCCGGAGTAAACTTATTCAACAATTAAAAGGTTTGATTTTGATTGTGTTTCGTATATTTATTTTATTATCTAAAATTTTAATATTAATTACTAAATGATATACTAGTGATATACTGTATATCAATATTTTCAGTGACGTTTACTAAACATTTGTATAAAAAATAAATTATAATAACTATACTAAACTATAATAAACTATATTAGTTTAAAACTTTTAACAATTAATATGATTTGACAGAAAATTACTGTATTATTAGGCAAAACTTTATATATTGTGTAATATTAATATGAATGTCATGTCATAGATGGCTACACGTGTTGTTTCACATTTTCCAAATGTCTAAAATTATTTTATTTAATCAAAAAATTTATTATTACAAATTAATTTACAATATATACTAACTATAATAAATTGTATTTGAATTGTATTTGTTATATTTCAATATTATATAAGTTTTTTTGCAATTTTATCAGTAGAAGTTTTATCATTAGTGTATCCATTAAAATATAAGACAAATAAATGAACATGAGCATATTTTAGTAATTTTAGAAAAAAACTAAAATATATTTTTAAATGCATCTAGCACACATACTGTAAATTATTAAATAAAATATAGAGTAATGAAATTTGAGAAACTCTCTCATTAGTGATAAGTGAAATTAGCGCTAAAATTTACACCAAATTTGTTAATTAAGTTATGGGACACAACATATGTTGTCTAAATATTTACTTTAAACACACATTTGCTTTTGGACTCATCACTAGTGATCCACAAAAAGGTCAGACATTGAAAAATTAGCTAATCGTTTGTCGGGATATTATAATCATTGGTTTAGTTTAAGCATTATTTATAATTTGCTGTTATTTGTTACTATGAATATCATATTTGCTTTTAAAGAGCTCTCTCTCTCTCTCTCTCTCTCTCTCTCTCTCTCTCTCTCTCTCTCTTTCTTTCTTTCTTTTAAGAACTATTACAAAAAAAAATAATATTAAAAATCTAATCAATGAATATTTTTTAAATATTACTATTTTAGGTTTACTAATTGTTTATATTCATTAATTTGATATGCAATTTAACTCTATATTAATTTTACTGTTTAATCAATTAATCATTATAACATAAATTAATAGGCTTACCGGTAAAATTTATTTATACAACTAATACCGTAAACTCATATTTATCGCTTATATGAGTATCGATAAATATCATATGCAAACATAAAATGTAATTTATTTTAAATATAATACACTTTTATGCAAATGATACACATTATTGGTGTATGTCCTCCCTGTGCTCTCTATCACTCTTTTTTTCTCACTCACACCTATCAACAATTGCATTCTTGTTTTATATGATAACCACAATAGTCAACAACAGTAATGATAGACTATATAGTATATACCAATCACCTGTTTTAAACATTGTAATTGTTTAGTGATGTATACACTATTTAAATGTATCACAAATAGTGCCGATAATCTCTCTTTCCTCATTTTTCCTCAATCTATCTATCTATCTATCTATCATACCTCAGCTGAGTTATACCTATACAAAAAAATCAGGAGTAAAACAAGAATTTTTAAAAATATATTTGATAGCACCTGTATAGAGAGCTCTGTTAGTTTGTGTGCTATAATATAAATTAAGTGTCTTGAGATGAGAGGTGAGAGAGAGCCACACACACCACACACTGGGAGGTAAAAGATGATCGGCTTTTCCTTTGCCTCGAATGCCCTTTTCATTGTTCTCTAGGCGTATAGTTATATGACGAGCCCGCGGGTCGGGCTCTCTGAGCCCATCGCACACAACAACATCACCGAAAAAAACTTATTTTAAAGATATTGACGGCAGTGTTATATCCAGAAAATAAATGTTTTCTATCATTTTTTTTAAACTTAAATTATATTGTACTATATTTTACAGTACAGTGCATGTATGCATATCATCTACCAGTGCACTAATTGACTTCCAGTGCCATACAAATACGTATATTATTTTATTGACCACTTTTATGATCAAAACCTAATTTCCTGAGTTATACATGCAATTCATATGAACCAATCAATCCCTTATTAGATAGACATTCCTCTAAATAAATATACACTTAATCCCAAACTATTTGATTATTTATATATATATACCATTCGTCTCCCAAACCATCCAAAAGGCGGTAAATATAAAGCACACAAAACTAACATAAAATCGTTTTCAAACAACTTAAAAGTTATCAAAACGTAAGTATTTTTTATATAAAATTATTGATAACATAATGCCACTCAATGGCTAAATAACAATGTTTTTAACGTGTTTTCAACTTAAAGTAATAACAATAGTCTCGCAAATGTGTTTTAAAATAATATATGTTTTGTTTGTATTATAGATAGCCTTATAGACAGCTCAAGCATTGTGTTGTATTTATTATATAATTTTATATTGAATTGCTTTATGTATTTTCATATATAAATACTTATGTGATATAACTTATAATATTGTTGTTTAATATATCATACACACCAATAGCACCGGCATATGTGTGCTCGCGTGAGGCAACTGTTAACGCAAATGTCACGAAATCTTATGGCAAATTTGCCTCTCAAACGGGCCGAGTAGGCCGACACTACCTGTGCTTACAAAATGTTATATCAAAGGAACAGACCTTTTATTCGGAAGGTTTTACAACAAAAAATTATTTTGTTTTGTGAACCACACGATCAAAAAGTTTGCATATCTATAATATATGTCTTATATCTTATATAATTCACTAAAATAACTGCTTATACAGTACAGTATATGATCAGCCTATGTATGCACTTGTAGTGTGTGTGTGTGTGTGTGTGTGTGTGTGTGTGTGTGTGTGTGTGTGTGTGTGTGTGTGTGTGTGTGTGTGTGTGTGTGTGTGTGTGTGTGTGTGTGTGTGTGTGTGGTTGTATTAGTGGCACTAAATTAGCCAAATCGATAATCACGCCTATTGTATGTGTTATTAATTGTATAATTGGCACACAAACCACACATTTTATTAGATAGTGAGGACCCACAGCACCGACGCTTACCATATGAATGGTAATACCAGAACAGATAAACACATAGATATGTGTGGTATGAGAGGAGAGAGAGAGAGAGAGAGAGAGAGAGAGAGAGAGAGAGAGAGAGAGAGAGAGAACTAAAATATTTTGACTATATTTATAAATGTTATGAGAAAAAAATTAGTGATTTTGAAAGCACAGGTGGCCTCTAATTAACATCATTTTGCTACTGAACTCTCACATAATTTTTTATTTATTATTTTAAATGAAATAAAATTTTGTGAATTATTATCTTTTTATTAATTTATTTATTATCTGTATTTTTGAGGATAAAAAATACAAACAATGCGTGAGTCTTGTGATTCAATCAATGAGATTCTCTGGTAAATAGTTTATTCAGTCAATTGTGTTTTAATAATATTTATATTATGCAAAATAAATATACATTTAGTATTAATTATAAACAATTCGTGAATCTAATTAAATTTTTATATAAAATTATTAATTTTTATATTTTAAAATTCCTTGATATTTTTTGCCAAATAAAATTTTAATATGACCATCATTATTGCATAATTATTATTATACTGTATATAAAGATTATTAATTGTTTTAATTTATGTATATAAATATTTATTTTTTTAATGTGAAATATATTCATTATACTGTATTTATAACTTATATTTAAAAATGCAATATAATTGTTAGCACGGGTAGCATAAACCACGATTTGGTATGACATCCCCATCAATTCAATATGTGTTTATATGTCAGTTATTGTGTGTTAATACAAATGCAGTAAACAAATATTAATTGAAATATACTCATTGCCAATATTATTATTTTTTAATTCATGTTCAAATAATAAGCAATTTTTAGTTATTATTTTAAATACCATGTATTAGTAATACACATTGTCTTTATTTTAATCATTTATTTAACAATTTACTTAAAAATATTCTCACATTTATACTAAATAACTATAATTTATGACAAAATTCAATATTTCAATTGTCTTTAACTATAAAAATGTGTATTATAGAAAAATAATTATTAAAATATTAGTTTTAAAATTATTTCAAAAGTTAATTTCAAAAAATCTCATAAAATTTGCCAAATAAATTTTATATGTTGACAATTAATTTAATAGTTGATAACATAACTTAGCTTATAGCAAAATAAAAATATAATTACCCAAAATGATATCAATATAAGCTATAATGTAATAACAATAATCATAAATATAAAAAAATAAAATTGCTTTCACTAAAATATTTTAACTTTAAAAAAATAAAATTATACTGATAAAATGATTTTCTAAAATATATTTGTTTACATAAAATAGATGTACTGTCTATCTTATGTACAAAATAACAGGTATATCATACAGCAATAAACATATATATATATACTGTACTGTATATGGGTTTCAAATAAAAGTTATGATCATTGACTTTACTGTATAATAAAGTGCAACAAATTATAAGTGACAGAAACAGAGAAAAATCTCATTTTAATCGCAGCGAATAATATATTGTATACTTATGTTATCATTAAAATATATTTTTATTTAATAAAATCATAATACAGATATTATATTCAATAATAAACTAAAGTTTATAACTTAAATGCATTGGCCATTCATAAAAATACTTATACTGTATACAGTGTATAGTGATATATTTACAGCAGATATTTTAAAATGAAAAAATAAATTTTTAAAAAATCTATTGACGATAATTACAATAAATTTTCTACAACTTTAGATATTTATATTTGATATTATTTTTAATGATAAATATATTTTAGTTATGGGATAAAAGCATATTATTAAGTATAGATCCCTTCACACAAAGTTCATTTAGCTTACAATATACAGTATTTAAGTTTTATTACACCATTAGTTTGCAAATTAAAAGTTATGCAAACAATCAATTTCGGGCAATATTAGAGTGACAGCGCTGTTAATTATATCTCAATGTATGAATTGTAGTAAAATTGCTATTTAGTAATAGACTACTATTACTACTAATACTACTACAGTATAAGTAATCAGTGTTGTCCTAATTATGTCCAAAAAGTATCTCATTATTTAGTTATAATAATAATATGCGTGACTCCTGAGCGCACTAAATGAATGTTTTTAGTTTTATTTTGGTTGTATTGAAAATCATATAACTTTAAGCAAATGCTTAAACATAGCAGACATATGGTATGTTTCATAGCCATAATCACTCATTTGGTTCGGTATATCAATTAAGATCTATATATTAATCAATTAGTGTCATAGCATTTAAAGATGAGGAGAGAAAGAATGAGAGAGAGAGAGAGAGAGAGAGAGAGAGAGAGAGAGAGAGAGAGAGAGCTGTCAGTTATTTAAGCAAAACTTTTTTGTCACAAAAATACAATTAGCAGTCATAATATGGATAATTTAATCCTATTGTTTATATTATAATTTTATAATAACATAATTTATATACTCTTTTTGTGTGTTATGCTATTCTTTAAGGATAACCAACTTTTTATTTATAAAATTTAGCATAAAATGACATATTTTAAAAAATTATATTTATAATAATATTTTGTTTATTTTTATCATTTGCTACAATCAATTACTATTTAAAAAAAACTAACTGTTACTGTAAAGTTTATGATAAAACTTTTAATTTTATTACTATATAATAAATATATTGTACAATGTTAATTATTTTAAAAATATTATTTTAATTATATATATATATATATATATATATATATATATATATATATATATATATATACAGTATATATATCTATATTTTAACTGACCTTAATTGGTGATAAAGTATTAATAAAATTTCTATTTTGCAAAATAAAAACAACTAAAATTAACTAAATAAGTATTATTATAAATTTGACTGATTATCTAATTATTTATTTATTACTCAACATTGACCATAAAGTAGTTTATCTTTTATATGGTTTATCATAAAGTGTTATATGATTAATATCGGAGACACTTTTTTTGTTTGTTTTCTAACATCGTATGCTTTTATCAAAACTAGTTCATATGATTTTATACGTCAATATAGTTTATGTCAGTTACTCAGTGGCCGAGAGGTTAAGGTATTTTAAAGTGTTTAAGAGGTTGTTTGGATGTGTTGCCTAAAAACAACACATCCAATACGATGCCCGGGGTTCGATTCCCTGACGCACTAATCATGTATATTGTCATTTCAAACATAAAGTAGCAGCTAGTTTGGGTACCCTTACCAAGCTGACTTACTGTTTATACTTTGTAGGTACTCCTCTAGAGGCTCTAAACTTATGATTTATTTACGCATGCTATAGACAATAACATAAAAATGGGACAGGGTCTCCTAAAAGTGTACCATACAGTAAATGTGACGTGCATTTTAGATCCTGATCCTTTTTCAATATAGTTTATCATTAAGATTTAATCATAATAATAATAATACTAATATTAAATATAATTTTAATATAATTAATTTTAGTTTAAAATTAATTCAAAATTTGATAAATTATTAAACTAAATTAAATTTTAAAAAAACAAATTAAAAGATAATAGTATTTAAAACTATTTATTTTGTTTTAAGATAGATTTCATACATAACATTTTTTATAGATAATAAGAAATAAACAAATGTTAAATTAAATATATATATCTTATTATACTTATTTATATTAATATCATACATAATAAAAGTTTAAATGTACACGTATTAAAACACAATATTTATAAAATTATTATAAATTAAACAATTATTCTAACTAACTAACTAGTAATACTGTATATTGTAATTTCCAAATATATTTATAATAACTTTTATTTATAATCATATTATAATAATTATATTAATTATATTTTTGATAAATAAATTTATGTATATTAGTTAAAATATTTTTTAATAATTGATAATTTTGAAAATAAATGATAATAAATGTTAAGTCATTTATAAAATAAAATGTATATATTTTCTATTAAACATAATTTCTTAATTGTTTTTTATTAAATGTATTTAACATGAGTTTTCTGGGTTTATTGTAGTATACCATTAATTATTTAATGCATATGATAAATAATTTTTTAATTAAGCAATACATTTACAATTAATATTAATATATTTGTATTTTTAAAAAATAAGAATAAATTAAAAATGGTTTAACATATAGTATATCTTTTAAAAATTATTATATAGACATCTTGTTAAACAATATTATAGTTATTAATCAATAATATTGTAAAATAATTAGCCTAAATATGTTAAACATTGTTTATGAAATATTAATAAATAAGCAATTAAATAAAACTTTACATTGTTAAGGCCATTTGTACCATTGATATGCATTTCAGCAAATTAAACAGTAAAATAATATATAAGAATATAATACTATAATATTAATATTTGTAATAATTATCATACATTGCTATATTTGTAAACTTCTATAAATATGATTATATATATACAGTAATTAATTAATTAACTTTTTATACATTAGCTTATTATTATTACATATATAATTGTATTTTATATGATTAAAAATATTGATAATAATATTTAGTACACATTATTATTATAAGGCTAAGCCCCTGATTCCTGAGCCGAACTGCGAATAATAAAATGGATTTTTGAGGTCAGTGTGTGTAACAAAACCAAACGGATCAGTAGTATTGGACGCGGCTATGGATGACATATGTCCTGTTCCCGTACCAAACGATCCCGTGTCCAACATGTTTGGCATACAATTAGGACTTGTCGAGTGTCCCCAATGGCCACCGACGGCGTTGTTATTGTTTAGTTTGTTGTTATTATTTGTGTGATTCGACACCCAATTAGATGTATTATTGTCGCGATCGTTGGCAATGTTGCCGCCGCTACTCATCACACCATTTGTCATACCATTCCCGCCGTTACCGGTGCTCATCGATAGTGAACTCGAGTATTCATTCATTGAATTAACATTACCGGCACAACCACCGATGCCATTGTTCAACATATTTAGCACCTATTTATCAATAAAAATAATTTATTATTAATTATTTAAACAATTCAATAAGAATTTATAAAAGCAATAAATAATTAATATATCGTAAAATATAATTTAAATATATTGTACTGCAGTTTATAATTGTTCAATAATTTATTAATACATTATTAAATTATTTAGAAAATATACTATAAAATAACAAACTATTATATTTGCAGTAAAAGTCAGAATTATAATTATAAAAATATAATTATTATGATTGTAATAAAATAAAAAATAATAATAAATTTATTAAAAAATAGCATATCTATAGTCTATAGGCGTTGTATTTCACTATTGAAGATTGAGTTGTATTTGTTTGAACAAACATTTTATGAGTACTAAAAAATAAGTCAAAAAAGTGGAAATTCTATAATAAGTGCAATAGGGGTAACCATTTCCGCACCGGTAGTATATAATTTGTTTAAAGTATAACTTAACTTATTGCTTGGTGATTTTTTGATAGATTATTTTAGAATAAGAAAAAAAGATGGTATGGGAAATAAATTTTTATTACTATTATTGTAAAATATAACAAAACAATTGACTGAAACAACAAAATGTGTGGCAAATAATTGTCACAATCATACACTCGTATGACTCCACAGGAGATACTATACTAAGGATTTCTTCTCAAATGGTGAACACCATTGAGTGTAAAGACTTATTGAAAGGTTAGGTTACGGCATATATAGTAATGACTGACAGTTAAAATGTTATTCACTTTACAATAATATACAACAAATAAATTGTTTTGTACTAATATATAGCAATTGCCGGCCAAACAATTGGATGAAAACAACAACACATTTGTATGAAGCAATCAATTGAATAAAAAAATATTATAATAGTTTTAATAATATAACATAATATAAGACTCGAAAAATACATTTGCCTATTGAAGTCAACATTTTTTTTTCAATTGAAAAAACACTATTTCTTATTATTTAAATATTTAATATTTATTTTGTATATCTTAATACATGTGTCTTAATATAGAGTACATTCAAAAGGACGGCAAACTATAGGAAAGGAAATAATATTTCAATTTTTGAAGTCTACATAAAGTCATAAATGTATTATTGTGTTACATATTGTTTAACAACACATACAGACAACAAAATAAAAGTGACAAACATTTGAAATTATAACACATAATATAATATAATAAAAATAACAATTGCAAACTTGTTGGGCCTTATCTCTCAATTTGGCAATTTTCAATTAAATAAATGTATAATGAAAAAATTAAAAATAGTTATTTAATTTTACTACACAATCAATGCCAAAAATCTATACAATAAACTATTTGACAGAATTTATTGTAAATTTAATTATTTTATTAGCACTTCAACTGTTGCTTTGATATAGCAATTGGCCGAAACCCCTAAAAAGTAATTGAAGTATAAAAAAAATTAATTTCAAAATTTTTGTTTAGTTAAATTTCAATATATAAAATAAATTATGTACTGTAGTTGTACTGTATATTTAATATAATTTAATATACTGTATTAAAGTTTGCTTTAAGGACTAGACCTCTTGGGGTTTATATATACTATACTACACATGGAGTATAAACCATAGCCGTATCCGATCTGGTGTTTCACAGAGATAGGTAGTTATGCTATATTATTGATATATGTATGTATAGAAAATACTATAAAACATTTAACAAATAACTAAATAAATCCGTCTATAAATAGTGAATAATATTGATTTCATATGCAATTTTAAATGCATTTTTATTGCCATTTTATGGTCATTGTATGGCTATTTTATAGTATATTAAAAATAAGACATTTTATTATTTATCTATTCGTGAATTACTTAATGCAAATATGATATTAAATTAGAAAATTTGTTTGAAATGCCAATTTCTATGGTATGTTATATTTTATAATTAATCACTATTATGAGTTTGCTTACCATCATTAATAAATAAAAATCTATTATTAACTCTTTTACACAAATATTTTTATAATTTATACATCACTAACATTAAGCATAAAGTATACAATTTTTATTATTACTTTATATTAATCATTAAAAAAATATTTGGAAATTTTTAATTAATTAATTGTCAATTTCACATATATTTCACAAATACGATAGATAAATTTAGTATTGATGTAAATAATATATATATATATATACAAGAAAAGTAATTATAATTGATATTCAAGTCACTTAAAATCAATTAAAAAATTGTTTCAATACATAGTTTTTAAATAATCGGGTAATGAAATACAGAAATATTTTTATATACAATCAACAAAATTAAATGCCTTTTTCACACAAATAATTGAGACTAAACAGTAAAATGTTTTAATTTTGCAAAAATTATTAGTTTATTGATAAAAGACAAAATATCATATATTATATAATTGAGGAATTATACCACAAATTTGTTTGCAATATATTTGTTGTTATCTTTATGTTGAAAGTTATTTAGCGTCAAATCTATTGGTTAAATAGTTTCAACTTTTTTTCAGAGAGAAAAACACATCATTTTTTTAATTTTTAGATGTTTTGAGAGAGAGAATAAAAAGTTGAATAAAAGTGATATAAACTATACTTAAATAAGTACTTATTTTTGCAAAATGATTAAAAACAAGTCAAATATTTTTCTTAAGCGCCTAATATTTAGTTCATGGAAATGCTTATCTCCCGGTGCTCTAAACATATTAGCTATACTTATATCATATGTATATATTTATACAAATAAATGCCAAATCATTTCTGAGAACCAAATATTTCTTTAATTTACAACAAAATATAAAAATTATATAATATTATAAAATATATGCTTTTAATTTAATATGTATTATTTTTTGTTGTTATGATAACTGTTATCAATCGCTGATTGCTGCCAAACTATTGACTATGTTTTCAAATATGATGGAGATAAATTAATATAAACTAACTAATTAAGGATAAAAAAATAAAAAATTTTAATAGCAATTTCTATATAAGCATTTGTGCGATAGTAATCAATGATATCGATGCAAAAAAAACGTTATTTACAATAATCCGATTAATCATATTTATTGGGTGCATATCATAGTAGTAATAAAACAGAGCACTAGTCAAACATCAATAGCTAAATAAGAAAGATAAATTAATTTTACAATAAAAAAATAAAACATTTTTTTTGAAAATGTATTACTGATATTAGTATAAGGTATATAAATTATATACTGCCGCATATATAATAAATTTATATTTGAAAATCGCTTTACTATTTGTTTAAAATAAGTGTTATCTAGTGTACAGAATTTCATGCAAATTAATGATAACTTTTTTCTACTGATGTTTTTTCTCATGTGTTTTAACAAAATTCATACAAAAAACAAGTGTGAATAACAAGCAAATACTGTGTATTTTTGTATGTGTGTGTCATTAAAACACTGAATATATACCGTATATATATATAATATATATATTTCTGTAAAATATCTGTTTATGTAATGATAATCTTATTTTCAACTTACAAATAGACATTAAATTGAGTCTGAAATGAGAAAATAATCACAATTTTATGTTGATGTTAGCGGATGAAAATCGCATTGTATACACATTTTAAGCCATATTTAAGGGCTAGTTATCAAAAATAACTGTCTGTTAGATTTATCATATGAGTACTACAACTCATTTATGTAAAACAAAATATTTGCCAACTTTTTTGTTTGTTTGTCATAAAAAATCCAAACCTATATTATTATTATTATTATTATTATTATTTCTGTAACTAATATGTGACTAATATTAACTAAAATTTTTATACATAGAGTTATGCAATAAAACACATTCTATTAATATAAATAAAATATATGTATTTAATATTAATATTTGATATAAAAATGATGCAAATAATTGATTGTATAAATATATAGTTTAGTATTTGATATAAATATTTGACAGTTTATTACAGCTGTTAAATGCTTTGAATATTAATATTGATAATACCATAAACTTTTTTGTTATCAATACTTATGTTTTTAATGTCATGTAAAATTAAATATTATATAATGTATATTTATATCAAACATTTAAGTACATTAAATGACAAATTGATAGACATCCATATATTTGAATATATTTATATTGTGTTTATATAACATTAACAGACAAATGTATTAAAGTGAAAGGCGTTTGCTATCAAAATATCATAAAATGTGATTACATTTTGCACTCATTATTATTTGATATGATATTATTAATACATACTGTACTGTATATAAGTACATATATAATATCTATACTTTATGTATACTTTTGTATAAAAATCTTATTCCCAACAGAAAAATAATACAAAAAAAGACAATCAATTTGACTGATATTTCTCATAACAATAAAATGCAAAAATTATTTTATATAATATACTGTAATATGAATATTACAAATCTTGCTCTAAAAGACTTTCATTATTTCGTGTTTTCAGCCAATTGTTTAAACTTATGTATATATTTTCAGTGAGACATTTAGCTTATACTGTAATACATGCAATAATAATAATAATAATAATAATAGTACTTTATTAATATAGTTTTTTTATAAACTGATTTTCTCATATCGTTTTGTTTGTTAATTTTAGTGATTACTATGATTGCAATTATCTACTTATTGCTGTCATTTTAAGGCTGTTATCCCCTTTACTTAAATACATTTTGAGCTCTAAATAAAAACACTATACAGTATGTATATATAGATAAATTTATTAAACTAAATCTATATAAAAATATATTTTCAACCGAAAAAAAAACATTTTATCTAAAATATTTTATAATTTGATAAAATAGTTTAAGTAATTAATTTATATAAAAAATCAACATAATGTGTGGCTAATTAGCTGAATACTGAAACAATTAGCTTAATATGCCAGTCCCACTGTGTTTAATGTTGTCCGACTAATATAAATTGATAATTTAATATAGCAGTATACTATGAAAAATGTGTTTTACTTATTAAATGCCTCATAAATAAATTATATTTTCAGTTTAAATATACAAAATAATAATTTTCACTTAATTTCGGTTAAACACATTATGTTAAGGCAATGAGGTTTTGGAAATATATTTTTTTATTAAAACATTTTTAAAATTAAATTATAGCACTATCTTAGTGGTCGGGAGACTGTAAAGCGGGTTTCCAACAAAAAAAATATATATACAGTATTTTATATATAAAAAAAGGTTTACAATTTTTGCTGATAAAAATTAAGTAATAATTATCGATTTACTTCACTTATCAAACCTACAAAATATATATAAACTAATGTTGAGAGATATGAAACTATGCGATAGACTTTTAATGCAATTTTATGGCTATTAAATAACTGCAAGATATTTGTGATTAGTTCGTGAATTCACTATTAAAATGCTTTATATTAATAAATGTTTTTTCTTTTTTCTTTATTATACTTTTATTTTTTTGAATCTATAAAAAATATATGTGATCTGTTTTTTAAATTATTTAAATATACTAAACCTTTTGGATAAAGATATTAAAATTAAAAACATTATAATATTAATTAATTTCAAAATATAAAATTTACACCTAATAATGCATTTTTATGATGACTTAATTTGGCTCATAAATTAGATATTCAGATTAAATTAAAATGATTAAAACTAAAAATTTAAATTTTTTCATAATGCTATAGAAAATACTGGATATTTTAAATAATTTATGTAAATTATTTATATAAAATTATAGTGCTTAATGTTATTAAATTGTCAATTTGCATATTATCAATCGATTGGTTTACAAAAAAAAACATTAATATAATAATAATAACGTAAAATTTAATATTTTATAGTAAGTCATTATGTTTTATTTAATTTTATATAATCCAAACTTGTTTTTAATACATTTTATTATACAAATATGTACAGTATTTATTTATATTATTATATATATCGTGCAAACACACATTACTATAACTTTGATGTATAATAGAAATACTAAATTGTAATTATATTTTTGTAAGAAACAGTTTTTTATAGTTATTTTTTAAAGAATGATTACATTTTCATTTATAATAATAATAATATAAGTAATAATAATAATAATAATAATAATAATAATAATAATAATAATAATAATAATAATAATAATAATAATAGTATACATTTCAATAAAGCACTAAAAAAATAATTAAAGAATAATAAATAAAATTAATTATTCGATCAATTTATTAAATTTCTATTCATGTGATACTACTTTATAAATATGCAAAATCTATTTCAATGTGTAAATGATTTATCAAATATTAATTTATCAAATGTCCAAAACATAAAGCTATTAAATTTTACGACTAAATATTAGTAATTTTATTACAATAAACAGTAATTTAAATTAACTGTAAAAATAATTATAGCTATTTTATCAGCTATTTTGTACATTTTGATATTGTTTATAAGATTATTTTAATTTTTAAACAAATATCATAATTATTATCATATTTGTCAAATTGCAGTGTTTCTAATAAAATTCTATCGCATTAATAAATGCTATATCTTTTTAAGCTAAAATTTAAAAAATAAATTATGTATCATATTTTATAAAATATAAGCACATAAGTATATGGTATCTAATAGTGTGTGTGTGTGTGTGTGTGTGTGTGTGTGTGTGTGTTAAGCCTTGCGGCAAATCAACACTTATAGCCGCAAAAGGCATATTAAATAAGATGAATTGACTAACAGTTTATAGTAWATAAAGATTGAAACAAAATATTTTTTATATAATATAATATGTCAAATAAATATATAAAAATGTGGTTATATTTAATTGATATTTCTAGTATTCAGTATAGACATACAGTATGTATTGATAAAGCAGTAACAAAAAACTAAAACACAACAAAAACCATTATATCAAAAAACAACAAACGTTTTGTTGGAATATATTGTAATAATTTCATTAATTAATGAAATTGTAATCAAATATCAATTATATGATATCAAGATTTAATGATTATTTTTCGTTTATTTAAAATCATTTTTACTGTATATTATATATATATAAATATGTTTAAAATAAACTAATCAGAGATAATTAAAATTTTAATGTAATTTTAATGATTATTTATTTTGATTAATTTTATTTTTACGTTACGTACAAAATGCTTCGTAATTGTAAATTTTTAAATAATCAAATCTAAAGCAGTCATAATTTTAATTAATATAACATCAAATGTATCATAATTTTTTTAATTTAAAATAAGGGAAAATTTAAAATTTAAAAAAAGTGATACATAAATTTATGTTATTGCATTTTGTTTATTGTTTTACATAATGAATTTAAAAGAATATTTTTATTAATAAATAATAAATGAAAACAATTCAATCATATTTAAATATTAATTTCAAGTATTTAACAAATTTTTTTATATTATATATCAGTTTATATTAATATACTGTATGATATCATAACTTTATATATTAAATGATTAGTTAGATTATTTTATTTAAATTAAAGCAGTTAAATGATTTTTATTATATCATATTAAGACATATATGATGTCATTAATATTTAAATATAAAATTTGAACTGAATTTTTTATATAAAGTTTTCTAATTTATTTTCTCATTTTCTATATTATTATTGATGAAAATTATTATTATTAGTAATAATTTTAGTCATTTTTTAAATATATGATAAAATCAATTATACTAAAAATGAAACAAATATAAAATAGTTTGTGAAATATTTTTATTTAAATAAATAGCAAGTCTAATGAAACTTATAAATAATTTATTCGTAAAAATTATATAAAGTATTAAATATTATGTAGTATTTTTAAAAGATGTTTTATATGCTTTTGAATAACATAAGTTTGTACCGATAATCTTAAAAAATTAAACCATAAGTTTTGAGCAAAAAAAATCACAAATATGTGATATAATTGATGGAATTTTAATGATACATAAAAGATAAATATAAATTATATTTGATTTTATATAATCCCTGTTTATTGGTTTTATTATAAATTGATATTAATATTAATGATTGAATTACATTTAATATTATTAAATGTTATTAATCAGTATTAGATATTAAAGTGAGACAATTCATAAAGTATTTAAATATAAAGCTATTGATAATATATATATATAGTTTTTTAAAAATAAGTTTCTTATGTTTAATGTGTGGGCTTTTATATGGTGGACAGGGTTGGGTTTACACATAGTTTGATGGATTCATATATGAGACACTTACAGACATATCATACAAACATAGCACCGGGTATTACTAAAATAGACAGTGCATGACTATTGTGTTGGATATGCTATCAAATAGGGAGTGAATATCTAATAGGAGTGGTCTCTCCTCTCTCTCTCTCTCTCTCTCTCTCTCTCTCTCTCTCTCTCTCTCTCTCTYTYTCTTTCTTTCTTCCTCTTTATTTAAAACAGTGAGATATGAAATGCAAAATGTCTAATATATGATTGTTATGTAATGTTAGTGTTAATATAGGACTTTTTAAAAAAAAATAATATGTTAGTATTGGACGAAAAAGTTATGAATGACTTACAAACAAAAAATGTATATTATTTGTAAATTTTAGAAGATATGTTAAAATATTAGGGATAGTCTATGAATGGGATATACGCTTAGCTATGATATTGATGTGTATGTGTTTTTATAAAGTGAATGGCATATCATTTCATTTTATAGCCATATCTAAGCATAAAATTTTAAACATTGATCTTGATTTTTGGTGCAATAATACACATATATTAAATATTGCTATTTTAATAATTTACCATGATTAAATAGCCTTTAAACTATTTTCCACTGTTACATTTGCAATTTATATATACAGCATATTTAAATATATAATAATAATAAAAATATAACAGTTTTATGATAATATTGTTTCAATTACATAATAATAATGCATAAAAGAAATAAGTTATTAAATTAGTAAATTATTAACAATTAAGTTTCATTTAAAAAAAGTTATTAGATTTAAAAGTTGATATAATTTTGCTAATTAAATTATATTTCATTTTTATACACTGAGTCTAATTGATAAAAATAATTTAAAATCAATAAAATAATAAATTATTAATAATAGAAATTTGTTTTTTAATACTTAGATTAAAAATTTTCTATGTATTAGCAAAAAAAATGAGTAATAAAATCTATACGATGGACGCAATTATAGAATCTAAAAAATTTATATTAATCTAAAGCATCCTAATATATATATATATATTATAAATAAAATTTTAAAAGTATTAAATGTAATATTAAAATATCAACTTAGCAACAAATCAACGGCAATTTTATATAAGTACTCATTAATATAAAGACACTTAAATTTTTATCACATTATATTATCATTATTTTTAACAAAATATAATAGTTAAGCGCAAAAATAGTTTTTGACAATTATACTGTAGTGCAATATATTGTGTGCAATAAATTACGGAAAAATATTGATAGCAATAGAAAAATGTTTGAATGTTTGACTGAAACTTATCGCTCATACCTGTGCTGCCGATGAAACCGAAACGGCATAATTGGCATCACTTGATAGATAAGGTGCCGATCGAGTGCTGGCATCACTTTGATGGTGAAGAGCTGATCCCGTGTGGTGTAAATTTGAACAATCTATGCATTTTTAAATAGATATATACATTCAATATAATACACTATTTATGTAATATATATACTAAAACTAGTTTTTTAAAGCTTTTAATATCATAATGAATTGAATACCAATTAAATCAAAACTAAAAATCTTTTAATAAACTATAAAACTCTCTCTCTCTCTCTCTCTCTCTCTCTCTCTCTCTCTCTCTCTCTCTATCCTCTTTTTCATATTATATCATATCATTATTTGTGTGCATTTTTATAGACAACAAAATATATATAGTATATATATATATATAAAGACAAACTAAAACTAACACAATCTAAATGACATTTAATAGCCTAAAGGTATGATAAGGTTCTTATAGCATAATATTATATAAATCACAATATATTTAATCAATGATATATTAAAAAGTTATATATAGTATATACAGTATTTTCATATGAATTGCTTGTGAACTTTAAATTTTGTTGATCTAAAAATAATGTTATAATGTTAACGCAAATATTGTTAACATTTCATAACATTTATGCTAACATAAATGCTTTATGTTTAAGACATATATATATATATATTACTATGCAATACTATGTATGTTATAGATTTTAAAATTTTTCTAAATGTTTTAATGTTTATATTAATTAATAAATTAGTTTCGTATTATTTTATCATAATGTTATACTTTTTATTTATAAAAATTTTTATGCGATAAGATATTATATTATTATATCTATTGTATCAATATATTATAAATTTTGCAATAAATACAATAATAAATAATTAATATTAAGTAAATATCTAAATGTTTAAAATTTTAATATAAATTAAATCTGGGATTTCAAATATTTGTTAAATTTTATATACTATATGTATAAGTTATACAAATAGTATTAAATATATTTATTTACTCAAAGACGTGACGGGAAAATAAATTTCAATTTCAAGCAAATGTTTCTCAGTTTACAATTTTTTTTAACTCCTATGCTATTAATACTAATTTAAATTTAGCCGCTTTTAAAGTTAATTTAATGATAATTATTGTTTTGTAAACAAGAAACAATTATAATTATTTTCATTTATTTTGCAAATTACTATTTTTTAATACTGTAAATACATATTGTAATGTAAATTTTGTAAAAACATATATAATATTTTTATATAAATTTATTGGAAAAAAATCATTGAAAATTACTTTTATACAGTACATAAATATTTCTAATATATATTTTTAAAAACATATAGTCATCTTATTAGCGATTTATAGTTTAAATATTACTCTATAAGAATTATACATAGATTTTTTTTGGCGATAAACCATATATTTATCTAGCATTATAACCCAATGTACCATTTATTTCAATAATAATAGACACACACACACACACAAATTGTTATATGCTGTACAATATAATAATAATAATAATAATATATAATCTGGAAGCAAAATATACAAAAATTTTATGTTTGATACATAAAAATTGTATGCTAACATAATATTGAAGTGCATAAATGTATTGAAAAAATTGTGTAAATATAATAATACTATGCATAATACATGTGTGGTTTTTTTTGTTAGCCAAGTGCTACTACTACTACTACACACATAAATTTCATATCGATATAAACCAATAACATGATTTTTAACTATAGTATATTTGTATTTACAATATCAATACAAACACATATTGTTAAATACAAATAATTGTTTAAAAAGATGTATTAGATTTAGTGGAATATTATTTGTTGGGAATGATGTATCTTATATGACATACCTTGAGATGTATTGGTGTAATGGTTGGCATCTGCCTGAGCCGCCGCTGCAAACGACAAGTAGGGATTGGCTGCCGATGACGAGTACGCGTGCATTGCTGGCAGTGTCGCCAATGCCGCCGAAAAGCCGTTCAACTGTTGACTACCCATCTGTTTCCTCCAACGGGCCCTACGATTGCTGAACCAAACCTATAGGAGACGGCATACCATTCATAAATATTTGAGAAACATTTTCAAAAATATGCAAATTATTATTAAAATATTAGAGGTCTTTAGAGAAAATTAGCTTAAATTTTAGTACATTTTTTAGTTTAATCATTTATTCATTCATTAGTTTTTTACTGTTAAGTGAAAATATTTTGAAGTCCAATGAGGGAGAGAAAGAAAGAGAGAGAGAGAGAGAGAGACTAAGTTTATAGATATACAGTATTTGGGAAATAACGGAAAAACCGTAAAAATAGAAAAAATGTGTTTAAAATTTACATTTAAGTCATTAACTTAAAAAAATTATAATAACGATAGACCACAACAATTTACAAATTATCTTTGCATACTATATATTCATCATGTTTCASATTTATGTAATAATTTAAGATAAAATAGTTTTAAATATCATTTTGTATAATGTTTTCAATATCAATTTATTAAATATTTGTATATAAAAATTATTTAAATTAGTAAATATGATACTATAGTAATAAATTGCTTCCGCCTTAATGATGTACAAACAAATATTAATTTAATTACTTGAATAACAAACTTAATTAAGTCAATTATTTATTTTTTAATTTTTATAATTTATAGTCTTTCGCAAAAAAAAATATTTATTAAAATATAAAATTTTGAATATTTTTTTACATTTTTAAGATAATTTTTTTATATATTATATATACTAAACACTATATCAGATTTGGATATAACTTATAATATATAAAATAGTAATTACAGCAAATTTTTACAGATTCTGTGCTTTTTCGGGCCACAGTGTTATTCAAACTTCAAACATCACTATTTTTTGATGGACAGGTATAACCAACTGAGCCAACAATGCAATTACTATATTATTACAGATTTTTTCTTACAAGTCTTAAAGTGTTATATTTTGCACATATAAAAGGCAACAACTTATTTGTCTATGAATAGCAAAAATATATATAACTTATATTTTTTGTATTATTTTTATGTATACTTGCAATAAAAAAGAATCATTTTTTCATATAATCTGACAAATTTTTATTTCCTAACACTTGTATCGTATAGTATAATGTTATATGACATGAGATGATCTCTCTCTTTCTCTCTTTTATGTTATTGAACTTCAAACTACAGTACGTTTTTAAGTTATAGTCGGCATTAGTACAAAAGGATTGGTATATTAAAATAAAAAACACAATTACATTGATTTTTTTCATAGGAAATCATATGTTTTTAATATAATACTATAATATTTGGATTCTTGTTATGTTATGTTCCTGATTAACACAAATTGTAAAATTTTAAATGTTTTTCTAAACTACCTGAATATAAAATAAAAATAGAAACCAAATACTAAAAAAAAGTTTTTAAAAACCAAATTTTTTGTTTAATATGCTTAAGAGATAGACTCTACTGTTTTAAATATTTTTTATTTAAGGTATGCATTAGTGAAATATACGTGAAGAGCTCGGATAGTGAGTGAGAGCCGACTGTTATTACACGGGAGATGAGATGCCCCTCAGGGGGTCCGATACCACCGTCATTGAAGGTGCTGCCCATTTGACGCACTGTATATTTTTTTAAGTGTCAAATGTGTCAAAACGTTGAAAACAACACATATCATACCATACTATTGCTTTTACAACAAATACTATAGTGGTTTAAAATGTGGGCAATTCTCTCTTTCTCTCTTTTTAGGCTCATACCTATCGGTGAAGCCACAGATACCATACCATCTCTCTCTATCTCTTATTATATGATAGCATACATCATCCACACCAGCAAACAATCACTACGTGTAAGTATTAACTACAAAAACTGCCGCATATTTTGATTTAATTATTCGCTTCTCTCACTTTGCACACACACACACATATATATATATACATCCCATACCTTTCTTCTATACACAAACTCATGTGAGGTCCAGTCTTTTTTACACATGTGATGCAATAATTGCATACTATTATAACTAAAGATATCTGCATATTTTTCATCCATCAAACCCGATAGCAACACAATATATATATATATATATATATATATATATATATATATATATATATATATATATAATATGGATAGACATAATTAAAAGTCATGTCAAACATGATTTTATATATATACTGTATATATATAACAAAACCAATTGTTTGCCACACATTATAACAACATATATCAGCGGATCGTTTGTCTTATTATCGTTTAACACATACACATGTTTGAACAGTGAATCAATTTTGATGGATTGTATTTAAAATAAACCACTAATTTTGTACTCTGCCATCAAATATGTGTGTCGGGTGTCATAGAATAGTGTGCTGTTATTAGACAATCCCCGACTCTGGTATGTTATATACAATATATTATATATAGATAGCGGTATATTTTAGATTACTGGAGATTGTTGTCGTTATCTGTCCAAAAGTGAGGCCCATTTTTTACAAGCAAAGTGTCTAATCGGTGGCATTTAATCTGTTGAAAAAATCAGGCCCTAAATTATCACAATAATTATTATTTATTTTTTGGTTGATAGGTCTGTGACGACCTGACCTATGATGGGATCTCTAATGCAAATGCCATGGTTTAGCACTGTTGTTATCTTTGTGCGAATTTGGGTGTCCATGAAATTGATGGCTTAGAAAATAATTGGATCTCACAACTAGAAGCTCATCATATATTAATATTAAGAGAGAGAGAGAGAGAGAGAGAGAGAGAGAGAGAGAGAGAGAGAGAGAGAGAGAGAGAGAGAGAGAGAGAGAGAGAGCACCCAACAATTTAAACAATCTTTTTATAATTGTTATCAAAAAGTATTTAAATAAAGCGTTACAATAAAAATATATTTGAATATATTATAGTAATGCCAAATAACACAAAAGACTGACTAATCATWAGAATAATAGAGAGAAATCYCAACACATTGTCTGATAGAAAGATACAAATTTACACAAACCGTTTGTTTTGTTACACACTTTTTAATATACATAATGGGTTTAAATCAGATTTGTTTCGCTTTAAATCAATTATTAATTTTTGTTTCACTATTTTTATTAATATATAATAAACATATGTTTCAGTAATATAAGTATATACATATATGCCTAATATAAATATCCATATAAATACACAAAAATTTTGCACCCAACATTCGCATAAACAATAAAAAACAATTTAATACTATAATATATTAAGAATGTATTTGGGGAACGGTATGTGTTTAATAGGCAATAATTTTCACTCGTAAATAATAATTATAAATTCGACACTAATTCTTGTTTAGGAATATATTAGAGGATAAATAAGCGCACAATTATTACATTATAAGCACTGGGCGTTGTGCGCATCCTTTCAAATATTTTTTGGTACCCATATATTATAAAATATATTTGAAAATAGCCATATTATTCTTTAACTATATTCTATACACTTATATGGAATGGGAACTCCATGTTATCGGTGTAGACTTTCCAACAAATACATTGTAATTATATTTTATTGTTATTATAACTATTATAAATATAATGCACTCAATATTCTTTAGATATATTTTTTCGTATTAGCCATAAAACAATTGTATTAATGTATACTCTCTATTCATAATAAATTTATATTAACGACAATTACTATTAGAAAATCTTTAGAGCAAAACAGTTTTTATAATGAATTTTGTGTTAAACAATTGTTACATTTAAAAAGACACCACACAGCTATACATAGTATTATATATATTATAGTATATATGCACTGCAAATATATCAAAAACAAAAAATATATAAATAATTATTTAGTTATGTTATTAGTGTTTTGGTACTATAATCATAATATAAAAAAGTTTTGAGAATAAGCAGTTTTGTTAAGAAACACTTTAATTACCGAAAATAATTTTTCGTTATATACTTATAAATAAATATATTGTTATACAATGTATATAAAGCATATGCAAAATCCTGTACCACTTTTTTATGGTCTGCACCCGAGTATTATTGTCTACACTATGAAACAAAAAGACGTTTTGGTTAATCTAAATAAATTACTGTAGTTTAGGCAGTATTCAATCCCTTATAGACCATACATATAACAATTGGTAATAATTTTTGGATGAGTTCCTCTATATACAGTATACATTATAAAGTCCTCAATATATATATATACTATAGAGTAGATCCCTCAACCCTACTAATAATGTTGTCTGTTATGTTTCATAACATTAGTTTTTAAAAAATTATTATCATTTTATGGATTTATTTTTCAAAAAACAAAGTTATAGTTCAATCCTAATTGATATACTATAGAGAACTGGCGTCGGGCTAAAAGGATTGTAAAAATGTAATTACCGCTAATAACTGACTGCCCGATCATCATAAATGTCAAACAGCAACAGCACTGGTAGGCAAATCATATAAAGTGTATTTTATAAAAACAAAAACTTTATATATAAATATAAGTTCCTTTCGTTTACTTTATGCAATAACTCAAATACATTTTATAACAAAACAAAAAAAGTTGTAACAATTGTATATTTAGTTAACTGTTAGCTAAAAAAGGATATATTAAAATAATGTCTGAGATATACAATATTTACAGCCATTTATTAGTGTTTGCTCTCTCTCCTCTTTCTCTCTCTCTCTCTCTCTCTCTCTCTCTATCTATCTATCTATCTATCTATCTATCTTTCACTGTTTCCGACATACGTTGATAATTAGGGTTTACACTCAATCATTAAAGTGTCTGAAATAGGGTATCCAACTTTTGACTCCCTGTGCTTGTTTGGCATCGGCTCATAGCATGTCTCCTAAACATACATTTTAGGAAAAACACATGTTTTCACACTTTTTAACAAAACTCACAATCAATTTATTAAATATATGTATACAATATATATTTCTTCTCATATTTCTAAACACGTAGTATCAATGTATGCGTTTAAATGTATAGCAATTAACAAATAGTTTTTTTTAAGTAAATCACTATTTTTTTGCTATAAATCTATATTTTTAGAAATATAAAAAACTTAAAGTTAGTCATAAAAATACCAGTGAAAAGTTGTTAAATTTAGAAACAAATTACAAAAGTTATCTAAAATTAGTTAATATTAATGATAATTACTAATTGTTAATGCAAAAACTAATTAATTGTCAATGTTTTACAATTGATATTTTAATGTAGTAATGGGTTATTGGCTACGGTATGGTATGTTTGCGGACACACACACACACAGTACTTGTGTGTATCGTTTACGAGACAAATACATTAATCATTCAATTTTTGACGCAATGCTAGCAAACAGACAACAAATATAATATATTTGAACCAAAAATATGCATCAAATTTGATGTAAAACTCCAATGAGTTAAAAGCATTAATTAAATGCTTACTTTCGTGAAAAAAGTTAAGACTTGTATAGAAATAAAGGACTACATAAGCACTGAGATGTTTTGAAAACAAATTTGCACAGTTGTTGTCCTTAATTATGAAAAATATGTATCAATATATATGATTGTATATAATATTTTAAAACCGAGTAAATAGCAGTCAATATAATTGATTACCTGAACCCTGGCCTCCGTTAGCTTAGTTCTCTGAGCTAACTCTTCGCGAGTATAGATATCAGGATATTGTGTCCTTTCAAAGGCCTTCTCCAACTCATCCAACTGATGGGCTGTGAATGTGGTCCGAGAGCGCCGTTGTTTTCGTTTTAGGGTCAGTCCGGGTTCGGCATCACTGTCCGAATCGCCTGATTCATCGGCTAATTACAAAAAAAATAATATTTTATAATTATTAATATAAAATTAAACTCTTTATTAAGCATTTTTTAATTAATTGATGTTAATCTCGACTACTTATATAATATTTTGCTTAATTTATAAAAACAATTTTATCTAACCATCTAATCATTAATATAATCAGTTTGACCACCATTTTTTGTATTGCATCAATCAATTGTCAAATAATAAATTATTTATTTAATTTTTTCAGGAAAATTTTTTATAATTAATTTTAGATATAATTAATAAGTATTAAATGATTATATTAATTAGTTTGAATGATAGGAATAATAATTATTTAATTAATTTGCAGTTAGTTTTATTATTTGTGATCAATTTTATTGCATATTTGCTTAAATCAATTTTATCATATTATATAAGAATAATTATTAATAATAATATTATTATTATTAGATACATTATATCAATATATTATGTATATCTTAATAATTTACAAATATTGATATAAATAATAGTTTATTCTAATTTTCTCATTATTAAAATTACAATAAAATTATTTTTCACTTATTTGGTAACTATTTAACAATAATAATAAAAAATATTTTCATATAATATTATATATCTAATTAAATGATAATAACAGTACAAATCGTGTGGTAATATAGTCACTGATAGACTATTAAATGTTAAAATAGATAGTATTAATTTTTTATTTTATCATAATGTGGTTAATAATATTGCTATTTTTGTTACTCAACTTTTAGTTGTTTTCTCTCTCATAATATATCTACCTGTCCATTTGTGATAGTATATAGTTATATATATATATATATATATATATAGTAAAATTAATTATTTGTAATTTAATTAAAGAAATATTTTCAACAAAAATAATATAGAAAAGACCTTAAATTTATATTATATTTTCTCATAGATTGCTTATGCGGCGACTACAAAGTGTATGTATGTGTGGTTTGGTGTGTGTGTTGTGTAAGTGTATGCAATAGCACAGGTAGTCAACCACATAGTTCATAGTACAGAGAATGGGAGACTCGTTTCCACATTTAACAAGACATTAGCAGTGAGTAGAATGAGTGAGTGAGTGAGTGAGTGAGTGAGTGAGTGAGTGAGTGAGTGAGTGAGTGAGTGAGTGAGTGAGTGAGTGAGTGAGTGAGTGAGTGAGTGAGTGAGTGAGTGAGTGAGTGAGTGAGTGTGTGTGTGTGTGTGTGTGTGTGTGTGTGTGTGAGAGAGAGAGAGAGAGAGAGAGAGAGAGGTTAGGGTCTGAAACTAATTTGTTTTAATACTCGACCACACATTACACTAATTTTTATATTGATATACATATAGATATTTTATTAAACTGTTATTTTTGCGGTAAAAATCCAACACATTTTGTTATTTTTCTCTTAATATAAAATTAAATACTATTATATTATTAATAATTTTTGTTTGTCTGAATTTTTTGAAGATTAAGTTCTCAGAGAATATTAAGATTATAAATGTTATATCATATTATTAGTTGAGTGGGATATACATACAAACTATATATTATATATAATATGCAAAAATAGCAAATTCTGTGACCACATGTCAATGAAACCCAAATGAAAAACCAATTATGATAAATGAACTCTAAGTTAATGTCAAACTCGGAGGTTAGTTATGTATCTCACTCTACCTATTAATAAATAGATATACATATAGACCACTAAATAGCATATGTTTACAGATATAATAGCTATATATTAGTTAGTGATTAGATTTATGTAATACATGGTGTTTTCGACATATATGTGTGTGTATGCTGTGTTTGTCCCGTAATTTCCCACAAAATTACAATAAAAACATACACTTAAAAGCAAATTACTTTCCAAAAGCGTATGTCATATAATATAATAATAAAGTTAAAAGATTTAATCAAAAATGATTATATGGTTTGTTAATTTTTGTATTATAGTTTGCTGTGTTGTTGTTTTAAAACTGATTATTATTACAATTCAATTGCCGGCACAATCTCTATGCTATAATGAGTTCAGCTTTAAAATGTTTGTATATGTTTATAAATAACTTAACTCAATTGCCCCATACTATGACCTCCCTGAGCCCCACATGTGTGTGTGTGTGTGTGTGTCCGGTATTCTTAAAAAGTCAATTATAATTCAGTCATAAAAAGATATCTGTCTTTCGAGTTTTGACAGACTAGTACTTAATATGATAGTCAATGAAAGATTGAAAATACTTCTCATTTATGGTACTAATTATCAGTGAATATCATAATGTAATCCAAATTTAATTATTGTTATTCAATGGGATGACTCTCTCACACAAATACAGTGATATGAAAAACATGATTACACTGTTGTGTATACAGAAACTCACGCCAACCGTCCATTTCTTATCATTTTATTAATAGTATGTTTCGTGTGGTCAACACATACCCAACTTCACATCACATCTCATAATAAGCTCATGTATTGAATAAGCATTTCGTTTTTCTCGAGACTTTGTTTTAAATAGTCGTAAAACAAAGCAAAGAAAAACGTATTTTACGGAAAATCTATTTTTCAGTTACACTTATATTATATATATTTATATAAATTATTAATATTATATAATATTAAATGCATTATTTCTTGAGGCAGTTTCGTGTATTAATGAACACTTTGTGGTCAACCATATGAGCCGATATATATAGAAAATTTAAACGCTTTTTTGACGCCCCTGTAGGTCAGTGCTCAGTGCTAATTAAAGTGTAATCAAACACTTTACCAATATATCTATGACTTTAAAATACTATCCACGAAATAAAAATTCAAAAAGATTTATTTATATAAAATAAAAATTTTGTGCACAAAATAAAGCAAAAATAGGTTTGAATAATTGCCAAAAAATCATAATTTAGTTTTAAAGTATTTTTTAATTTGATATTTTTTACTTTGAATATCATTAATTTATGCCTAAATGTTAGCATTACTTCATTTTTTTGTTAWATAAATGAAACAAAAAAAAACAAATTAAATGAATTAATATAGAAAATAAAAGCAAAATTAAATGATAAAGTATATTAAATATCGCGTATCTAAATGTCAATTAACTTTTTGCTTATATATCTACAGTATGTTTCATTTATGGGTATCTTAAGCGGTTTGCCTGCCGTCCCATTAATATATTAATAATGAGTAAGAGAGTGAGTGAGTGAGTGAGTGAGTGAGTGAGTGAGAGAGAGAGAGAGAGAGAGAGAGAGAGAGAGAGAGAGAGAGAGAGAGAGAAGTAAAGTCCTCTCTCATAATAAAAGGCTGACCGCACAGACCGTTCTCAATGGACATGAAAGATCCCGGCGCTCACTGCCAGCACAGGTAATAGAGCCGAACGAATTGCATGCAATCAAACGTTTTAAGCGTCAAAATTAACCATTTATTGGATATTTTAGTTTTGCAAAAGTGAAAAATCTGTGGTAAAGGTCTCGATAAACACGTGAATATAATTTATACAATCAAATCATACATTTGTTTTCTGACACTTATTTTAAAATTCATTTATTTCTCAATACCTGTACCTCTAGTTTTTGTACTACTACTTAGCTCTCTCTCTCTCTCTCTCTCTCTCTCTCTCTCTCTTCTCTCTCTCTCTCTAATTCACTAATTGACTCATTTTAAATCAGTTATGACTATGAAAAGCCGATGAATTGTTTATATTTCTTTTTTCTATAAAATTAATACGTTTAGCAAAAAAATACATTTATTATTGTCATATATTTTATATAAAGTTATGATTTAGTATCAGTGTTTATTAAGAAAGTAAAGTTATATAAATAGCATTAGAGTAAAAGTGCTCATTAATTACCCATCAGTTTATAAATAAGTTATTTTTTAAAAATATTTTAGAAAAATTGAAAAAATTCATGTATAAAATTTTAAAATAATAATTAGTGTAAAAATAAGGTCGTTAATTACATATTTGCCAATAATTAAAATAATCATATAAACTCATTATCAACTTTTAATAAATATTTCATAATAAGTGATATATTTGCAAATATGTGCTAAATTTCAATACAATACTAATGCATATAATATTATAATATTAATAATACATTCACTAATAAACGTCAAAACATTATATGCTAGACATTGTATAAAACGTATTATAGTTTTTTAGTGTCTGTACTCTTATATGAAGGGAACGGTATTTTGTAAAGTGAATTAATTCAAGAGCACAGAGCACTCGGCCATCACTGAGAGGGGAAGTCGTGACTCTGAAGATATTATTATTAATTTTTACTGCAATTTAATTAAAAGTAAGACTCTTGTGCTCTCTCTCTCTCTCTCTCTCTCTCTCTCTCTCTCTCTCTCTTCACTCATTCATTCTCTCAATAAAAAAATGAATTAAAAATAATAATAAAATAGAGATTTTTTTGTATATTTTTATATATAAACAAATATATTAAGTTTATATACTTATTAATGAATAAATAAGAAGTCTATGTTATTCTGCCGGTTCTAATAATTAATTTTTAAAAAATAGAAAGTTGTTTAATTTTTTTACTGTACTGTATATTCATAAAGTACTGTTTTTCATTAATGTATGCATAGACTGCTTAGATAGTAATACAACCTCTTTTTGTAGTAAATTTATGCAAACATAAAAATATATATTGTTGTAAACAAAACAAAAATAATAGTTAAAAATTTATTGGTAGTGGCAATAACTTTTTAAATTAAATTCAATAGCAAATGGGTAATGATATCGTATAACACAACAATTATGCAGATTATTGTGTTTATTGTATTGTATTGTATGGAAACGTTTGTCGGATTTGTTAAGTAAATCTCTCTTAACTCTCAATACATCTCTATTTTTAGTCCGCAAAAACATATTTTCCATTTACTTGATTTCCAGTTATATATAAATTTATATTCATTTTTCTAACACTCATACCACCAAAGCCTAGGTATTAGAAGGTGTCTCAATAACACAGCACTGGTATCACACAAATATAATGGCAATATTGAGGAGTGAGTCAGGAGAAAGAGAGGCATAATCTCTCTCTCTTTCTATTTCTCATACATACTGTATGACCGGTAGATGAGAGCTCTGCCCATAACAAAGACTTTCAATAGCAAAATGAAAAGCCAATCGGATTAGTATTAACTCTTAAAGTATTAACTGTTATTCTCTCTATCGGACGGCACAAGTATGTTAAAAGACATACGATATCATATATGCGGGCTAAGTATGCCTAAAAATAAGGGCCTTTCACTATTAGTATTAGTTCACGAGGTTTACGGTCAATGCAGAAGTTAGTTTTAAATATGGGTTACATATCAAATATAAATACGGGTATTAGGGAACTCATATATTTAGGCTGGCCATTGAGCGGCCGGTGCTGATTGAATAGTGAGACCACATACTGGTTTGCATAAAAGATGCAAATATCATATCAATAAATAAATGAATACCAATACATACAATCATTATTGCATTTATCTCCACCAAGAATGCCGTCGATTGTGTGCTTATGGTGTCCGCCTTTGCCCACACTTTCACTGTCTTTACCGGTGCCGATACCTCCGCCAACCGGATTATTTGGTCCACGCAGTAGTCGACTAATAGATGATACTGACGGTGCTGTTGTGCGATCACAAAGTCCTTCTTTAATGAGTCTGTCTCTTATTTCCCACGAGAAGATACCTGGATTTTCCCGTCGATAGTCTTCAATTCGCTTCTCCACGTCGGGTGTGGCCACACGTGGTTTTGAACCGCCGATAACACCGGGCCTTATGGAACCAGTTTCCTATTTGTCACAAATATATCAGTTATAATTCATTAAATAGATGTTTCTTTTTTAAAAAAATTGGACAAATATTTTACAATATTATGTATGCAATAATGTAGAACAGTATAATATGAAAAATTATTGAAAACTATTGTATAAATATATATATATATATATATTATAAATATATCTAAATGAATTTGTAGTTTTTTCAATACTAGAATTATAAGATTATACCTAATTCTAGGGTCTATTGTGCTAACAGTTATGCAAATTTTCTGTGGTTTTTAAATTCCCAGTGCTTTTGGTAGTAATGTTTGGTTATACAGTATATGTATCGGTAGTACTAATGTGACATTGTTTGTGACAATAGAGACGCAAGTATTGCAATATTATAGTCAGATTATAACTGACTATAATCTCATTTTTTGATTGTCACCCGCTTTTTGCGGACACAGTTTTTTCGGTGATATTAGTTATTGTTTGGTCGACACAACATATCAATAACATGTCATTGGACTATATTATTGGTTATAACTGCAACGGAAATGCTTTGTTATATAGTTTATATTAAAATATATATATAAATCATATAAATATATAAGTAATTTATATAATATGATCCACTAATCTCAAGACAATTTGCACAGAAAACTATTTTTTTTTTGTATAATATTTTTAACTAACAATGTCTTTATAACCATTTTTATACAGTATATTGTCGTATATTAAGAGTTGCCATAAAATTTCAATTTTCTTATTTATTTCCTCACCGATTCTCAGGGATGGCATATAATATTGTATTAGTATTGAAAATATAATTTTATTTTTATTTTTTGTAAAACCATTTGTTACAATTTTTGGTGTAAATGTGTGTTTGTGTGAAATAGCAATAGACTGGACTACCCGTGTAGTAAAAGAAACACCAAATCTTTTTTATCTCTTTTCTCTCAATGTTTTGGTGATTAGTTATTTGTATGTTAAGGGATACCCCATATGAGGGTTCTGGTCTATTAGCCGATGCGTTTTCTATTCAAGATATAAAGGTTACCCCCTATTATCACACCAGTGATTACAAGAAACCCCTAAATTGCTACACAAAAACATAGTGAGCTTCTGGTTTGAAAAAAGGGGGCGTACATATTATTAATGATATTATGGTTTTTGTAGGGCTCAGGGCTATCTCTCAACAATTGTGTGGTCGATGATTGTGTTCTGTGTTGTATGTAAAACAATGTCTAACCACAAGACATGTCAAATAATAATATATTATATATTTATATACTTTATATACCCTCATCTCATCTCTTTAAAAAAAACTTTACTTAAAGTTTATATTGACTATCAGTTTATTGGATAACCAAAATATTGCTAAATTTTTTAAGATTTATTTTAGATTAACTATTTATATTAAATTTATTATGAGTTAACATTCATTTAAAATATAAGCCAAAATATGTTTAAATTAAAATCAAATGATAAATACCTGATATCTATTCAATATTTTGGATACACATCCGTGAGATACTCTTAATTGTCGGCTTATCACACAAGGCCTGACACCGGCTGCGGCCAACTCTACAATCTTTAGTCTGATATGATTTGGTAGCGGCCGACCATTAATAAACACACCTCCTAATTGATTAACCCTTCCCTGACCTATAAAAACAATAAATGCATAAATGCATTGCATTTGCAATAATTTTCAATAAATATAAATAAAGCATTTAATAAAATTATAATTAAATAAAACACTATTAGTTTTATGCATACCTTGAAAGGGATATCCAGCAAACAGAGGCGCTCTTATATTTAATGACATTTTCATTTAAGTAATAATTAGTTTGAATTAAACACTTTGTTAAATAAAAAGTAAATAAATATCAAAATGTTTGTCACATTTGCTAATAAAGTTCATGAATCACTATAAGATGTTATAATAGTTATAATATATTTATCACCACTAGTTGTGCACATGTAGGTGCTGTTTAGCAATAGAAAAAGATAGAACTATCACTTTTGGATACACAGTTTTAAACACAGTATCTACTGGTTGTCCAACTCTTGGATGGTATTCCTGAAAAAACAGTATCAACAGATCCCAAGAAAGCAAACACTGGTAAGTGTAAGCAAAACTATTTGTATACTGTTTTCATAGCCTGAGCGCAGGCTTGCAATCAATTGTATTGTCACGTATATGATAACCGCCTGCAAACTGGCATTTCATTCAATACCAAACCAGTGATGCATCCAATGGTTTGTTAGAAGTCGGTATCGGAGGCGTTGCACTCGTATCTCATACTGTATTGCAATGCACTGTAAGCTCTGCCACATCTTTTAAATGTAATCCCACTCTTAATTTGTGTTCACAATTGTTATGTCAGTTATTGAAACATAAATTGATTGTAAAATAAAAAATTTTGTGAAAATGTCGAGCCTTTGCTTTTTTTGTAAATGCTTTTTATAATAAATAAACATATGATTTAAGTTATGCAATCGATAATTAATGATCTATTATGTGTCATATACTGTATATTTAGATATAAGGTATACTGTAATATATATACTTTAACTTATAATAGATGATATATTATCACAAATGATGGTCAGCTAATAAAGTCGGCATTATTTTCATCTCAATTATGCTATTTATAACTAATATTATTGTTACTACAATTGTGAACACATTTCTATTAAGTGAATCAATTGCTAATTTAAATAAATTTCTTTAATCTAATATTTATTTGATCTCTCACTCTATGAATACAATATTTAAGTGAGTCTTCGGTAAAAATTTCTTTTAATTACTTAAAGATTTGCTACAATATATTTTGATTAAAAATTTGAAAAATATTATGCATTTGTTTAAAACACATTTTTAAAACTAATTAATCAAATCTCGTTGATGTTTATGTTGCCTTAATTTAATTATTTTTATGTAAATTTTATAATTATTAAATGTTTTATACGATTGAATCGTATAATTCTTATTTTTCTTAACAATTAAATGCCTTTTGGAAAGAGAAATGTTATAAAAAGTGTATTCAATAGTATCTATTTTTGCTCTCTCTCTCTCTCTCTCTCTCTCTCTCTCTCTCTAAATTTTAATCTAATATTATTTCAAACAAATTTCTATTCAATTAATACATAAATTGTTAGCTAAAAGAAAACATTGAATAAAAGAGAAGCTTAACTCACTGAATGATATATTGATTTATATAATATATATCATATACAATATACAGTATATATGTATATGATATATATAATAGATATGAAATGGCATTCGTGTTTGACTTTTATTATAATTAATTGTTTTGTAATTTGCTATCGATTTCTTACGTGTGATTCTTATAGCAAAATATTTATCATTTTTCACATACTTAAGTTGTATTCAAAATGATTTCCTAAATAAAATTATTATTAATGAATATTTTCAAAACATAATTTTTTAATCACAGATTTTGATATCACCTAACAATAAAATATTAGCTATAAAAAGCTATTTTTATAATATTAATAAATGACAACAACAAAAACACACACAGTTTGTGGTAAAAAGCGTATCTCTACAGTAGTGGTCATTCACTAACATTTTTCACTCATGAATAGCATATACTGTATATAAATTTATAATACATTTATAACATATACTTAACAAAAAACATCTTAAAAATATATTTATCCGTACACTTGAATGACATATCATGTGTTAAATCTTTCACCTGAGTCTAAGTGGCATTAAAATTAATTTTATTTAAATTTTAAGCCATACATATGTAATGCAATTTTTAGTGTTAAATTTGTTTTTGCTTTGCTTTGCTTTGGTTTATTTTATTTTTTTATATTTCATTGCAATGTGTTTTGGTTACTCACATATTATCGCACATTACAAGCAATATGATTGAAATGATTGATCAGCGATACAGAGGTTGGATGAATCGGTTTTAGTGAGTGAATCTCAAATAAAAAAATTGTTTAATTAAAAACTAGTTTAAAAATCAACTTTTTATTGAATATATTGTAATTCTTGAATACAAATTTAGCAAAAAAATCAATAACAACAAGAAAATACATTTAAAATTTGTAGCAATGATATGACAAATTAAAATGCATTTTATTATATGTTAACCAATGATATAATTTTTGTAAAATACAGTTTCTAATTAGGTATTCATTTAATGAACAAAATGTTTGTAATATTAATTACTATACAATTTATGGTAATTGCAAATGTCTTGTTCACAAACAGTTAGGTATAAATATACTCAAAAACAAAATACATATCATTTAATGGCATTTCGATAATTACCGGCAATAATGAGGAACAACTTTCCCACATTAGATTTACTACTTGTATATACTATATGTATATTTATATATATATATTAAAGATAAATAAATGTTTATGATTTCCAGTGAACCGGTCATAACTCATGGGACCGGACGGACAATCATATAGTATACCGTAAAAGAAAGGATTGCTTTCATTCAGTATATGTGTGTAAATATATCATTAAACTTATATATGTAGCGCACATACATAGACACACACATGTCATGTCATGTATAATAATAATTGATGAGCTGTGATATTGAAAGTAAATTTACAACTAATTACTGGTCATTGAAAAAAATTTGACTAAATAATTACTAAATTATTATTTTATTATTAAAGGTTTAAATAAAGTTTTTTATGCATATAGAGAGTGGACAACAAGGAAACAGACTGACTGTGAATTTTTAAAAAACAACTATTTCTCCATAAAATAAAATACAAATGATATACAATGTAAGTCATATATTGTTGTTGTTTTTTTAGGTGATTTCCAAAGAAATGTTTTTCTCCAGTTCTCAACAGATATACCCACAAAAAAACTGTTGGAAACTCTTTTTATAGTTTTGTGATTACATAAAGTGAATCACAAAAAGATGCAAAAAAGCAATTATCAGACATTCAATCAGTGGGTCAACGGGAGGTCTATCAACGCGAACACTGACTGTGAGGCACAGGTATGCCATTTAAGAATCCCCGGGCACTGACTATCTAACTGACCAACAGATGGGCCCTTCATTAGTTAGATGATTGTCCGTGAACTCCAACAACATTAATGTGATTAACTTATTAGATTGAACTCTTGAGCACAGCAGCAGCAGCACAGGTAGTTGTGGATCTCGTATATCATACAAAATAACCTGTACCCGTTTGTAGTGGTATAGCGGCCACACAGACATTACCTTACAGACCTCTCACTGTGTGGTCGATTGGTGTAGATATGTATGTATGTATATGTGTGTACTGTCGGGTTGCTTATGAATCGGCAAATATGCATGAAAATCGATATTAACACTTGTGGTCACAGCGAGCTTATGGATGTACCCAACGACGTATGCCTTTCCATTAATTCATTTTTAAAGTTTTCAATATAGCCACCAGTGATATAGCAAAATGCTATGTATAAGTAAGACTGGTTATTTGTTACCTGTCCCCTACCAAACATCACTGTTTGATTGATTTTTATATTTTTCAATTATAGTCACCAAATAACAAGTGAAGCTAATGTTGTTAAGCGCTATACAATACAATGCAATATATATTAATTATGTGTTACTCTTTCGGTGTTTAGTTAATAAATTATAAAATCACTTCATTTTTCATATTATAGTAAAAATGATAATTTATATGTTGTAATATATTATAGTTTTTAAAATATAAGCTAATTATAATGATAATAATTCAAGTGTTTAAATTTATTTTAATTAATTAATTATAAACAAAAAAAATAATAAACTTATATCAGTTAAGTTGTTTAAACAAATAATGTATGTAATTTTATATAAACTAATTAATAAATCAATTTTCCTATATTTATTATTAATTATAAAAATAAATTTTCAATACTTTTTATGAAAAATAAAATAGTTGTTAGAATAAATGAAACATCACTTAAATTTAATTATAATATAATGTTTTTGAGAATAAAAGATTGAATTTTAATTTTTATTTAATTATGTCAAAATAAAAATTGTGTCTAATAAATATAATACATGTATATAAATTTAATATTTTTTTTTAATAAAATATATTGAATTTTTATTAAAATCATTATTTACCCAAAAAACATGACAATTAAATAATTACACGAAACACATAATTTTTGTTCATTAATTATTTTGACACAAATAAATTATATATAATATTTATTAACAATATTAAACATTTAAATAATAATTTCTATACAAAATACACACACACACACACAACATTATTTTTTGACATTTTAAAACTAAAATAATTTTATTTTATTTATTTAAAAAGATAGTAAAATAAGATAAATACCACACATATAGTAAAATATACAATTTATATAATTATATAAAAAAAAGTACAAGGGATGTGTATAAATCTGAAAATAACTAAATTATAAACAAACAATATTAAAACTTAGATACATTTATAACATCTATACATGCAATGACCAGTTCAGTCAATAGTTTAGTTAAGATATAAATCTTATGCGTTTTGTGTGTGTGTTTAAAGTATATAAAATTAAACTAATATGACATTACTATTATTTCATTATAATGAATACAATTCAACTAAAATTTACTACTGGTTATAGTCATAGTATTACATGTATATTATATTATATTGTATATAAAATACCACACATGCAGTGGAAGTATGAATATTGTATATATTGTTTTCAGTCATAGGGTTTCACAACCAAATTGAATACATTTTGGGCCATAATTTCAATGGTGTTTATTTAGGTTTACCCATACCTGTATGTATGTATGCATGTATATATGTATGATCCATGCATTGTGTAAAAAATACAACTTTCCAAACATTAACTGCTTTAATGCCCGCTCACGTACGGTATTGCTTTTTAAAAAAAAAAGTGTGTACACATCCCAAAGCTAACTATCCCATAGTACTGTACTTTTCTATTTTACACAATCACAAAGTTTACATTGATATGCCTTTAAAAAAATGTTTAACGCAATTACCATTTTGTTGTAAATGTGTGGCTATTTTGTATGTGTGTGTATGTGTTGTAAGGCTAATAATAATCATTTGGCAAATCACTTATTTTTCCATTCATTCACTAAAAAAGTATACAATTATTGTATAGTATCTGTTGTATTGTATTTACAATAATAAAAAACTACACTTTTTTCATGTATAACAATATTTGTCATAAGATTCTCAAACAACAGTCATCTCTCTCTCTCTCTCTCTCTCTCTCTCTCTCTCTCTCTCTCTCTCTCTCTCTCTCTCTCTCTATCATTCCATCTCTCTCTCTCTCTCTCTCTCTCTCTCTCTCTCTCTCTCTCTCTCTCTCTATCCTTTCAATAGCACCGATAGTTTGATGTTGTAGTCACCCTCAGTCCGACACTAGAAATTTTTTTACAGTGTTTCTCACAAATGTACTCTTTTAGTTAAATAAGTTAAGTCAATATTAGTATCATATAAATTGAGATTATTAGACATTTAGTGACACTTAATGTGGTCACAGCCCGGCCATCATCGTTGGCGTTCCCTTTCAATACTGGTTTAGCAATTGTTTGCTAACAAATGTTTTCTCTATTCAAATATAATAATTTTATTCATTTTTTTGTGTTGCGCTCAACACTATTTATAACTAGGGTTGACTAAAATGCAGTTATTCTAAAAGTGTAAAATGCATTTAAAATACATTAAATACATTATCGATATATAAAAATTCAATTATATTAGTTTTTTATTTAAAAAGATTACTAGTTTTAAAACTTACCATATTATTAGTGACTAGTTTTCTTAAAAATGTTTTAAAAATATCAATATTAATTATTAACTAATTTTTACCAATTTAACTATTTATTAATTATGAATAAATCAGACATTTTTAATTTATATAAATAGATTAACTTATTTTATATGGATATTAATAAAATTTGTAATTGATTTTATCAATATATTTATTTAAGTCGAAAGTGTTTTAATAGTATTGTATTCAACCAACCCTATTTAGTTTAAATAATATTTACAAATAGGTTTTGCGGTATACTTTTAAAGCTACTATCGAGTAATTCACAATCATTTTTCATACCGTTTTCTATAACTTTTATGTACTCTTATATATGTTTAGGTTTTAATCTATAATCAAAAATACATAAAATTTGTATTGAAATAAATATATATAATAGCAAATAATTGTATACTTTTTATTGAATTTTAAGGCAAATATGGAATAAATGTGAAAAATATTTATTTTAAAGATCACTGTTTAGAGTTATATACAGATTATATATTAAACTTTATTCAAGAAAAAAGTTAATTTAACTAATTGTTGCAATACTTTAACATTTGAAAATTATTATAATTAACTGTTTACTATTAAAAATTACTATTATAATATTGAAACATTGGCAAAATTATTTAAGTTAAATATAATTTTTAAATAGATTATCAAAAGTTTAATATATGCCCTTAGAGTTTATAGACGTTTTCGTCCAAATCTATAATCATAGGAAAAATGTTTACAATATTAAAATTATCTTTTATTAAATTACAAATATTATTGTTGCTTTAGTTATTTAAATACTATAAAAAATTATTTAAATTACCGATAACTATGAATATTATATACAGTTATAATCATTATCTCACAAAAGTATATCCTTCGGAGTAATCAACCGTTTGGCGTCCGAATCGGTAATTTCGAAATGAAACTCATCTTCAATGACCTCCATGTCATATAAGCTATCGAAACCCGAGTCTTAATATAAGTGTGAATCAATTGTTAACTCTAAATCACTACAATTATATTTTGTATTAATATTTTAGATTTTTAGATATCATTTTTAATTTTATTAAATAGTTTGTGTCATCTGTCACACGATAACTAAAACATTGAAAATATAGTTTAGTATATATTTTAAATATACAATATATATATATAGATTAAAATGTTAAAACGATTGATATTAATTTCAATAACTAATAAAAATATTTTATTATATTTTATAAATAGTATATTTTTATTGAATTTAAAGGTAAATATTGAATTATAAAGATAAAAAATTTACAATATTGAAATTTTTTACATTAAATTACAATATTATTGTTGTTTAATTATTTAAATACTATAAAAATTTATTTAAATTACTGATAACTAAGAATATACAGTTATAATCATTATTCAAAATCTATATTTAATTTTATTTAATTATGTAATAAAAATAAATAAATTTATGTATTTAGATATCTTATAAAAGCCGTTTCTTGCATCGGGCGGCACCACAATAGCAATACATTTTTCGGCCCTCAATAGAGCCGATCTCATAATTGTAATCCCAAGTGAGTTCTTCATACGCCACTATATCCCTATAAATTAATTATATTTATTATATATATATATATCGAGAAAGAAAGAAAGAAAGAAAGAGAGAGAGAGAGAGAGAGAGAGAGAGAGAGAGAGAGAGAGAGAGAGAGAGAGGACCGATAGCTTACTTTTTGGCAAAAAATGAAACCCATGGAAAACGTAAATCATGGGTATCAACAAAAACGTTTTGTACAAAACAGTTCGGTTCGCACGAGTGGTTCAAATATCGACCAATATTTCCCTTTCTTTTTGCGTCCAATGAATAACAGAAGTCTTCTTTATAGAAATCTTCACGTATTGAGTATCGACCTCTTGATCTGTCGTCTTGACGGCGACGACCTAAACGTACACATTATATATAAATTGTATATAAAAATCCAGTCCTTCACCTGTCGATAACTCTCTTGTGGTAAATCCCAACTCATCGTTACGGGAATACTTGTAATCTTTATCTTCGTCATCATTGTAATTGCTATCAAAATTATCATCAGATGAATCCCGATAGTCTTCATCGCTTAAATCAACGTCACTCTCATAACCTTCTTTCTGGTTCTCGCAGACATCAATGTAATCCAAATCAGCTAAGTATTCGTCACCAAATGTCTTGCCCTCCTTATCAGCCGCTTCTTCGTTGAGAATCTGAGCCGAATATGTGCACAAAAATGTCCCTAAAATACATAATATTAAAAAACAATTCATTCAATGCTAAGCAAACAAATACCTTTAGGAACGTCATGTAATACTCTAACCCCCCAACCCTTCTTCAATGTCTTAAAAAGCTGAAGACGACATTTGATGCCCTTCTGAATCACTCGATTAGGACAGCGCTGATTACAGGAACACCTTTGGTTGCACTCAAACAGTCCGGTCATTATAAAGTCATTGAGTCGTTTGAATTCATAACCAAAATATTGGAATTTACTCTTTAAAAAACATTAATAATAAACTTCAATAAGACATGCTTTTCCTAATATATCAAATACCATACCATTCTCACAGCATCACTGGCCTCCAGTGTCAACTGTTGACATGAACACCGATCACTGTTGAGACAATTGTCGGTACAGTCGCAACAGGACAAGAATTCTGGATCTAAAACAGGTTTAAATGAATAAACATCCGAATGAGGGAATCGTTTGGCACTATAGACGACATTCCCCAGATCTGTCTGATCGACAGTATTAACACATGAGATGGGCATCGGTTCCAAACCGTTAGTAATATCTTTAATGTGAAAATAAGCTTTAAGTGAATTAGACTTTCGAAACAATGCAAATCCTTTAGCAAATGTAAACAAATCGATGTCCAAAACTGATTCGGTTTGCAATAAGTAATTAAACAATTCATTTGTGTTACGGAGTCGAAGACCGCAAGGCGTTCGATAGACAACACGCAATAATTTGTCATTTGTCCGCAATAATTCCCGACGATAGCCGCAAACAATTGGTATATAAAACGGATTTTGATCGTAGAAACTGTCGGATTCAACCGATGCTATAAAGTTAATATAAATCAATTATTGTTAAACAAGAATTAGCCGATAATTAATATATTTGTTTACCATTTATACAATCAGGAGAACAGGAGTGTTCAAAATATTCTCGGGGCTTAACACGAGACAAGTCAGGTAACTGTTCCACAGATACTTCAGATATGTTGAACAATTCATTGTCAATGAGTCTCATTGGATCCAATATAGTACCACTGGGTTTCGCTGTTGACTTTCTAGCGGTTTGTTTTAAATTCTTTCGTTTTCTGGTAGCAATGTCTGTAGGAATCACCTGAATATCGTCGTCTCCTTCCATCTGATCCTTTGTTTCTTCATTTTCTTTCTCTTCTTCTCTCTCTCCCTCCCATTCAACGAAAGATGAGTGATCTCTGTTTCGAGTACTTCTTGTTGTTGATCTCATACCACGATGTTTGACATTAGTTTTCATTATCTGACATTCTTTGTAGATGTCGTACAGTTTTATTGATCCGCGATATATCCATTCTTTATAAGGTTTGGGCAACTTATGAAAGTGTATGAGTGCTAGACTCGCATCGATTTCTAAAACATTAACACTTTCCCTGAAAAAATCGAAACCAAATAATCATTAAATCAAATAACAATATTATTTAATCGTATTTAAGACTACCATCGGTTGTCAAATCGAACTTTAATTCTTTCGTCTCCTTTCTGGAGCCGAACCATTGGTCGTTCGGGATATTTCTTAATATAATTCACTAAAAAATCACAATATTCTTTCACCGATGGATTCATTGCTTTCTCGTTTTCAGAAAATATATTGTCGGCTAAAATAAATTATAAAATTGTATTTTTAACAAACAATTTAAGTCAATAGTTTCAATCAAATTAAATACCGGACACTCTGTCGTAAATATGAAATATTTCTTCACGTCTAACATAACGACAATCTTGTTTATCAAAGAAAATTAAATATCGAAAATGATTGGTATTTTTTGCCGGTTCGGCAACGATTCCCGAGTAAAATTCTCGTTGGCCATTGTCATCGAGATATGCTTTATAAAATAAAATAAATAATATATAATGTATATATATATATATATATAGTTAAMACTTACCGATAACTCTTTCGCCAACCGGAAGAATACTATCAGAAGGGGTYGAGTAAGCAATCAATTTGTTGAACAAATAGCTGCCGCCGACTACCGATCGGTCGTCGAAATTAACCGAAACACTGCAGTGATTCAATATCTTTGACACCTTTGCCGGCTTCCAGCTATAGGTCAATATACCATTACTGGCGGCAAACACTTTGACACCAACTTTTGGTGTTCTGTTGACAATTGAAACAAATAATTGACAATTAGTTAACATTTAAAAAAAATACGTTAAAGTAATCAAATGAGACCCTACTTGCGCTCAAATAACTGTGTAGTAATCGGTTTCGTATCAGTTTTAACACCAGAGGTTCCCTCATATATGACCGACAAATCTAAGTTTTCGTCGTCTGTATTATTATCAATGTTTTTGTCATTAGTATCCAATTGATTGACATTCTGTTTGTCTTCTGTTTGTGTTTGACATGAATTTTTGATTTCCTCGTTAACCACAACAACACTATTACCGGTTGTGTCAACTTTGTTGGCCTCCAATTTGGCCATTCGTTCGCGCAATTCGTCGATATCGATGACCCGTTGAATGGGTTCCGAATAATAGGTATATTCGTCGTCATAATAGATGGTTTCGGTGATTGTTGTCGTCCTAATTGTAGTAAACAAAAGTACAATACATTTAATTATAAACTAATAATCAATTGATTCAACAAAAACAATGACAAATACTTTGTACTGATATTTGGTTTTTGCAATTCTTCGTACAAACGGTCAAACTCTTCATTGTTTTTCTCGATTTCATCAATGAGTTGTTTTGCTTCTTCTTGTTGTTGTTTCTTAATCTGAAGAATCTCTTGTTTTCTGTCCAACCATTGTTTGTCTGAAGACATATACTCTTTGACCATTGATTCTAWCTTTTCGGGATTTTTGGTCAATTCATTGTACAATTCATCCCAATTAACATTTGCCGGTATCGGGAATTGACTCCAATCGATGTTGAATTTGTCGTCCTTTGGTGTGTCGGCCATCAGTGCCGTTAGTCTGGTCACCAGTCAATGACCCGATCGGTAATTATTAGACAAATTAAGTGTAAATACAATTAAAATCATAAAACACTTTCAAATATTATACGCTTTCATAACATTAGTAAACATAAAGTACGTCTAAATCATAACATTATTCACAAATGTTTTCAATTTTGTTAAATATTTAAAGTTTATAACATTTTGTTATATTAATAAACTACACAATAATTATAAAAACATTTTTTATTTAGTAATAACTAATTTTACAAATTAAATACAATTGTTTTATATTAAAATAATAATAATAACAATTGTTAGTTTCATTATAATTATTTTTCACAGTATTTTTATCCCAATTTAAGACTATATTATATTAAAAAAAACAAAAATAGTTAAATCATATAATTTTAATCAATTAAATTCTATAATTGACTTACAAACCAAATAGGGTTTTAATTAACAAACAAAACTAAATATTATATTTTCATTGCATTATCTATAATATAATGACAACCAAAATAATGGATGAATATTACGTTAATTTTAAAATGATATTAATTAAGGTTTTTAGAAAAAAACATGAGTTATAACTATTAAATATTTATATAAATTTTTTTAAATATTGTTTTTTGATTGTATGACCACTGCTGACCTGAAAAAGATAATAAAAATAGTAATAAATTATAACTCAATTAGTGATAATCTAAACTATCAAACGTTGTCTAAAATTAAAAATGTTTTTTAATTGTTTCTAATGATGTTCGTTGTGGTCATCCTTTTGCAAGCCTTCATACGCCTCCTCTTTATCAGTGATATACTTCAGTATATCCTTCGGAGTCATTAGTCTTTCGGCGTCTGAATCGGGAATTTCAAAATGAAACTCATCTTCGATGGCCATAATGACCTCCACGTGATCTAAGCTGTCGAGACCCAAGTCTTTATAGAAGTGTGAGTCAAGTGTAAGCTTTTCGGGATCTACTTTATCGTACAATTTCAAGACCAATAGTATCCGTTCCCTAACAAAATCATAGGTCATCGGCAACTTGTGAGCCAATCGGCGTGACATTGAATCGACAACCGGCGCATTGCGTACGCAGGCAATGGGTGTCCATCGATGGTCAAGTCGGTCGACAGTCATTGTGGTATATAATCTGTTAAATTCAACAAAAGCCGATTGTGTCCACCGATGGTTATCAATTGGTGTCCATTTTGCGGTCGCATTTAGCGCGTGCTTTGAACCAACAATCAGCTGTTTGGATGATCGCTGGAAACACGCTTTGGCCGCAGTTTTTGTAACCAACAATACATTCATTTTCGACCAAACACTTAGTGGTCACCAATTGTCCCGATTGTGGTCTCGTGTCGTCAATGACGTGATATTCAATTGAAACTAATTGTGAAAATAAATGCTAACAATGTTTACCAAAACCGATAAACACTGTAAACATTGTATTCAATAACACAATGTTTTGTCAATCAATAAATGTACTATAGATGGCACACATTGTACATACAGTTTAACACATTTATATTAAACAATACACTTATAATCATTTAATTCAATTTATAATATTGTAATAAAGGATAATAATAATWATTATTATTATTAATATTATTATAATTATTAATATTATGAATAGTTAATATCAAATGATAATATTAAAGCAAACATAAAAACACTAAATAACTGTAGTTTTATASTTTAGTATTAATAACTAAATATTAACCTAATATATCAATATTATACGCAAACAATGTTATAATCTCATAGAACAGAGAACCCCACACTTTATTATCAGTCAATAACATACTGTATATCACATACACGCGTACATCACGTGCTAATCACACATTAGACACACATTACAAGTTAACCCCATTATTAGACCCTCTATTTAGTCGTAACGTTGTGTTTGAATGATTCACATGTAATACAATCAATAAGTGTTATTAAAAATATATGATATTAACAATGATTTGACAATTAGTGACCAATTAATCGGTGATCACATGATATTTACGGTGATTTTCAGTGGACATTGTATGACAAGAATTTTGCAGAAGTATTGGTAGTCATCAGTGGCTGACAAACATTAACGCCGCTAATGGACGACTTGGTCCGCGAGTTAAATGTCTTGCGTCTGGACTGCAATCATAGCCGTATCGGCGACGGTGGCGATGGACAAAGTCAAGAAAATGAACGCCAATTGGTAGACACTATTGAGCGATACGCCCGAACTGTTCTGTCCATTACATGGGATCAGGAAATGGTGATCACGAACGACGAGTTTAAGACTAAAAACTCGGAGGCAGTCATGAACTCAATCATCTATTTGTTGGACGGAATCGGACAACTGTGTGATGAATTGGACACCAATGGCCACTGCGATCAACAATTGTCGAGTGATCGGCCGTTTCAAGACAATACTAAATGTGTTGGTTTAGGGGTTACCGATTACACTGCGGTCAAGACATTACTCGGTATTGACATTTGTGAATGTCTTCTGTGGCGAAAAGCGGCCCTTTTGTATGCCTTCTGTAATAGCAAACTGAACGCCGGAATTAAGTTTGTGGACAACACGGTTGTTGTCGAAGATAACAGTGACCTACGCGATGAAGAAACGCGACATAAACTACTTCAGTATCTTATCGATGGTATCCAATGGTTTCGTCAGTTTCTTAGCCAAAGACAACCATTTGAAGTTAATTCCGGCGCAGAGATGGTGCCGATGACATCATCTGAATCTTTATTGACAAACAATATCTTCAGTGATAATCATTTACTTTCACTCATGTATTTGTCAGAAATGTGTGTTTGGTATCACAACTATTCAAACCATTGGCGACTATATTTGTACACCGGTTTCGATGTGGAAGAATGGGCCAAATATTGTCTGAGATTATACATTAATAGTGTGGACAATCATTTTAACACAATTGGCTGGAACTGCGACAAAGCCAAACAATTGTTGACATTGTTTTGATTGATTGTCTGTCTGGTTGTTGTTGTGTCCAATAATTGCAAACTATTGTTCAAATTGATTGCTGAACTCAATTATATTTTATATATAATATCAATGAAATGCTCAAAATTAAAAATATCATAACTATTTAGACATCAATTATTATTTTATTTTATTACATTAATTTGTATTTAATAAACATCTTTCAATTGTTTATTATAATATTTTTACATTATTTTATTTGTGATCAAACTCTTGATATAAATAATATTTTAATTTTTAAAATAAAGTATCGATTAAATATTACAAATAATATTGTATCCCTGAAAATAATAAATGAAAAATATTTAATTTTCAAATTTCGCTTAAATTTGTTGTAATTTATTAATATTAATCGGAACAGGTATTCTTTGCGCGTAAAATAAAAGTGTTTAAATTCATTTTATTAAAAAAGTTAATGAAATTTAATAAATTGTAAAATTGTCATTTAAATCTATAACATCTCTTTAATAACTGACCAAATTTTGATTATTTTCGGTAAACCATTTCATCTGATTTTGAACCGAAAAAGACTGACTCCTTCCAGATTTTCAATTTTTTCACTATCATAGAATTGTTTTATTTATTCAAATAAAATATAATCTGACAAAGCAATATATGGTGAATATAATGATTCATCAATGGTTTTAATAAATCCTATAAATTTATTATAATTCAATTGTATAAAACTTTTTGGTATATTTTCACTTAAGTGGCCTATAATTAAGAAGTGAAATTATTTAGTACTTAAATTAATGGCACATATCTTCAGCGAATTAAGTCCAAGTGTCTTATAATGGTTCATAAATCAATACCCAATATCTATCTCATATTTTATCATCAAAAGTCTGGATATAACTTCATTAAATCCTTCAAAATTTTAGTATTAAAATTAGGTAGTTTTTCTGACTATTTTCTGTCTTTTACATTAACCTCTACTTCTTTCCATCATTTTTTATTTGTCAAATTAATGCTTACATTTAGTCTTCCATAAGAAGCCTTACTAATATTTTTAGCCTCCATTATTGCATTAATTAAGCAACGATATAGGTATTTTTGAGCATATGTGAAAATGGTGTCATGTGACATTAAGATATGTAACGGCTTTATTAATAACTTTATTCTAAATGTTTAATAACAATTAAAATACAATAATGTAAGTATTCAATTTTTAAAAAATTAAAATTTTAATCACTACATAGAACTCACAAAAACAAAGTAAAATATCATTATTTTTGAAACGCAAAGAATACCTGCTTCAATCGATATACAGTATTATGTTAACATACATTTTAATGTTTAATTAGTACAGTATATTATATTTAATAATTAAAAAAATTTTTAATTGTTTACAAGAAAAGCATAATTTTTTTTATGAACACGATAATACAATCTAGGTACTTTTTTTCTAACATTCAAGTTGTTTATAATATATACTAATTTATAAATTATCTAGACTGCAGTTGATAATCAATTTTTATATTTTTCAATAGACGAACATACCTGCGATAAGTTTTAATTTATATATAAATTAATCACAATCTATAAGAGGTTTGTTTATAACTTATTTTTTATATTACAGAATCGATATTATAATACTGTACTGAAGTATTGGTTAAATTTTTTAATATATTTATTGATACAGTTTATCATAATTATAATTTCTAAACAATATTTGAAAATCATAATAACCTACCGTAAATAGTGTTTGAATATCTCATTTGGAAATATTATAGTTTTTTTTATTTGCAGAATTTTTTTTTTATTTTAAAAACTATATCAATTTTTATTATAAAGTTTAGAAACTGTTTAATTTATAAATTATTTATAATTACTTTTTAATATAATGAAAATCTTATTTCTAATATTTCTATTATTTTTTTGTCATATTCACGAAGCTTTTGTGGTAAAAATATTAATTTATTTATATATGTTTTTTATTAATAATATTTTGATTCTTATTTAAATTTGTTTCACTAAAAAAAATTTTATTATTATTTATTGAAGTCATTAGCAAAATATAATATTGATATTAATGAAACATCGGTATCGGGTCTATCATCGGGTGCTTTCTTTGCTGTCCAATTTCAAGTGGCCTTCAGTTCAATTATAAAAGGCGCCGGTATTGTAGCGGGCGGTCCATATGATTGCGGCGGTGAGACTATGTATGCGTTTTGTATGTTTTTGAACGTACCGTTGGTTTCATTATCCGTTCAGAAGACTAGACTCAGAAGTGGTCAATCTATTGATGATAAGTCAAACCTATTGAATCATAAAGTGATGATGATTTCTGGCACTAAAGATGTGACAGTTAGTACTTCAGTGATGAATCAGTTATATAAATATTATGTTACCGAAAGTGACTTCATTCCGGTCGATAATATTCAATATAAACAAGATTTAGTGGCTTCGCATACCTTTCCCACCGACTTTGACAGCGCCGGCAATAATGATTGTGATGTCAGTGCCAGTCCGTATGTCAGTAACTGTGGTTATGATGGTGCCGGTGCCATACTTAAGCAAATATACGGTGATATTAAACCAAGAAAAGATACTAATAGGACCGGTAGTTTCATAGAARTAGATCAGTCAGAATTTATATCAAATCCATTAGCTAATGGATTAGACACAAAGGGATACCTATATGTGCCAAAAACCTGTACCGATGGTCATAAATGTAGACTTCATGTGGTGTTTCACGGATGCCTTCAATCTTATTCACAAATTGGTGACAAATTTATTAAAAATGCTGGTTATGACCGATGGGCCGATAACAACAATTTACTGATTTTGTTCCCTCAAACCTACTCTGATCTGACCATACATTTGACACCGACCAATGGTTATGTATATAATGCCAACGCTTGTTGGGATTGGATCGGTTGGTACGGTGGCGCCGGCTTTTCAACCAAAAATGGTATACAAATTGCTTTTATTAAAAAAATGATTGACAGAATTGCTGGAAAAATTTGAATAAATTTTATGAACTAAAATCTTATATAATGTATTAAATGATTTTTAATGTTTAATATATTCTATGTTCAAATTAAATAAAAATTAATTAAATAATATCATCTTATGATTAATTAGCATATTTATTAAGTAATTATTTATTGAATAAATAAATAAAATATATAATACATTAATATTATAGAAATTAATTATTAAACTATAAAACAAACACACAATTGTGACAATAAATTGTTAATATTTGGGAATATTATTATTTGAAACACTTTACATGACATGACATACAATACTCTAACTTTAGTATATAATTGAATTTACATAACACTTGTTTATCAGGCAATCTATTTGTGTGAACTTTGCAAGAATATTGATCCCAATGTTTACCGTTTTTTTATAATAATAAATCTATTGCCAAAAATTGTTGCAAACATTTTTGTGGCACAGACTCACACCGTATATGACATTTAACTACAAAAATAAATAAATAATATTATCAGAAAACAAATATTCTCTCACATTTTATTAATTTATATATCTATATATAATATTACAATAATCTATAACCAATAGTTGATATTATGTTTTAATTAAAAGCAATATTATAAACATTTATAAAAATAAATATTCATGAATATAATTTTTATTTATTATATCATATTATACATTGAAATCTTAATCGAGAATCTGGTCAAAGGTGATAGTCATGTGTCTGTCGGGAAACCAATAGGTCAGTGGTGTTGGTCATCAAATGAGTGTCAACTGCACAGTACTTGCCTCAAACATAACGCAACGTTAAAGTACGGTATCTGTGAGTGTAAGCCCGGGTATGTAGTGACCAACGATTGGATGCAGTGTTTGATCGGTAAACGCTATGGAGAATTGTGTCATTACAACCAACAGTGCAAACACTTCGACAAGAATATGGTTTGTGAGTTAAATCAAAGTATTGATGTGTCGTTTTGTATGTGTAATGACTATCATCGATACGATCTAAACCTTAAGCTATGCCAATGGTGTGATGAAGTCGACTGTCGACGACATCCCGAAGTCAATGAAAAGTCGCCGATATTACCGAAAAACATTGAACGCTATAACCGATGGTATCATAATATGGATTTCGGTTCGGTGTTCGGCATCTGGGCGTCGCTGCTTATCATTGGTCTACCAATGAGTATATTTTTATTTTTACTGGTCATCCGTGTCACTAGACTTTTAGTCAATCTGACAGCAAATCATGGCATTAGTGTTGAATCTCACCGTACAAACCAAATCAACACTATTGTTGGTCACAATCAAATCTATGTGACCCTTCCCATTGCCGAAGTTGTCCGGTCAGAACAGCCGCCGCCACCGTATGAGGAATTGATTAAACAAAGTCGACTTCCCACTTACGAGGAGGCACTGCAAAACATGTTTTCATAATTCAACAAATCGTTATTAAATTAATAATTTTATATAACATCTGTAATTGTATTTTCTACTGTTAACCTATAATATTATACAATTTCATTAACATATGTAAAATTGTCATTTTTTCAATATTATAATTTTATATGAAATATATATATCTAAAAATTGGACAGCGGAGTGGCTCAGTGCTAGAATTTTCCGATTACAAAGCTGTATATACAGTACCCGGGTTCAAATCTAATCAATTTATTATTTTTTGTTTGTTTGCATTTTTGCGTTTAAATCAGTTTTTTATGCTATTGATTAAATTTTAATTAATTATTTGCTACTAATATTTTGTTTATGACTAATGATGTTTTTTTGTGCCAATATATTCTTAAAAATAATTATTTATTAAAATTTGAATATAAAAGTTGATTGATTTACTAAATAAAAAAAATATATGAGTTTAATAAAAATTTTATTGATTTTTGCCTAATAGTATTGATTACTTGTCATTTATATTTGAACTGTATATTATATTTATATTTTAACTGTATATTATATTTATATTTTAACTGTATATTATATTTATATTTGAACTGTATATTATATTTATATTTGAACTGTATATTATATTTATATTTTAACTGTATATTATATTTATATTTTAACTGTATATTATATTTATATTTTAACTGTATATTATATTTATATTTTAACTGTATATTATATTTATATTTTAACTGTATTTATATTTTATGTCATTTACAGTACAGGTATATAAAATTGTTGATAAAATAATGAGAATATATATCACATATTCCCTTAGTGAGCTTAAAAGTTTAATTTTTAAAAAATAGCCTACGTAGCTTATTATTTGTTATTAAAAAATTTATCATGCTCAATTAAAATATTACTAATTAAAATTTTTATTACTCATTGTAATTTACAATTTGTAAATTATAATTTGTTATCAATTTAATGTATTATAATAGTTTTTTAATTTTATTATATTTATTTTTTAATTAAATATGTCATGTAATTTTTGTATTATAAAACTATTATTATTTAATTTGTAAATAAACTACGTAGGCTATTTTTTAAAAATTATGCTTTTATGCTAACTTAAGAGAATATGTGACATATATAATATATATATTCTCACTATTTTGTCAAAAATTTTATATATTATATATATATGAAAGTATCAAACTATTGTAAAATTGAATAATTTTTTTAATAACTATTTAATTTACATATAATTAATTTTGGAACAAATCTATATTATAGACAACCAGTAAATACATTGTTGAACGTAAATGCAATAAAATAATAAAACAAAACAAAACAAAAAAGAGGATCAAATTAATTCAATGATAATTGCAAACAGTGACCAACCAAATGATAATCAATTATTTGGCATTTAATATAATAACACATTATCTAATCGGAGACAACTTATAGAMGAATTACTTGAATCTTTAAATGAAAGCATTGAATATACTAAAGAAATTTTAGACAATTTTATAGATTTGATTTCAATAGTCATATCAATTGGAAAATTCTGATAATTATATTCAGGAAGAGATAGACAAAGATTGGGATCAATTAATTAATATCATTATTAATGAAATGAGTCAAACAAATCATTGATGGATATCATAAGTTCAAAGCATAAGAGGATATATTTGTTTAATGAGAATGTCGTGTCTAAACAATATTAAAAGTATTGTCAACTTTTATACATTGAATTTGTTTTAATTTTGTTTGTGTTGTATTAATATTTTAAAATATTAATATATCTCCTATAAAATCTAATATATCGTATTATTTATTTATATTAATGTTTTGAATGTGTGTTTAAATGTTTTGACTTATAATTAATTGGATAAATAAATAGTTTAGATAATCAATTAAATACTACTATATGAGTCAAATAATTATGCAATCTTTTTWTAAAATTCAGTAATAAAATTAATTTATTTTAGTCTATAAATAATAGGGTAATTATTATTATCGTTAATTATTAATTACTAATTAATATTAATACAAAAAATTTATTATTATAACAATATATTAAATAGTGATAACTATTTATATTAATTGCAATATTTTACAAAACAAATAACATTATAATAAATTGACATTGGTACAATAGGTTTTCTAATTTATAAAATAATGCATTTCTAGTCCTACGCTACTTAACCCTGGATACAAGTAAATTGTCTGAATTTAAACTTATTATTAATAAAACATTTTGTATAAAATTGTTAAATATAATGTATTTAAATATAATTTTAAATTTTTTATTTACATAAAAATATTATTAAAAAAATATTTTAGACATTTATATTACAAATAATTCTAATATTTTCTCATATAGTTATGTTTGAATAGATATTTCAGTGCAAATATTGACTATTTTTTAAAATTGAATTTATTTTTCTATCTTTATATAATAATAATACATATAATATATACTAATAATATAATAACACCTACCTATGCACCGGTTATAATCATATTGCTTACATCATCAACAAATATATGCCTATACTATGTAATACATAGTATATAAGGTATAGTGTTTACAAATAGAATATTTTGTATGTTTCATACATTAAGTCTATGAAACCCTATTTCATTAATAATAGACTTCTCTATAAACATGATTACAATATGACTGAACAGTATTTCAATTATATCCTATTATTTCCTATAATTTAAACTGATTTCCATCGTCACAAACACGTCGATAAAGATCATACAATAAGGGRGAGAGAGAGAGAGAGAGAGAGAGAGAGAGAGAGAGATACAGTAAACATTGATATTAAACAACAGTATAGAGGCATAGATAAAGCTAAAAATATCTGCAAATTTAAACAAACAATTTTTTCCTCGCTTTACTATTTATACTGATATTTGATCAGAATTTTGATATCAGTTTAGATGAGAGATGGCAACGATAAGTACAGTATGTTATTGTATAATCAAATTTTATTGCTATTATAAGTGCTGCTATAAAAGTGTCGCTTAACTTCTGAAATTATATAAAAAATTCAATATTAAGTCATTTGAGTTTTACTATATTTACTGATTATTTGAAATAAAATTGTTTTTRGGTTTCTTGTTAGTTAATCACTTGGTTTATTGTGATTACAGCATCAGTCAGTAATTTGATTATCCGATTATTTAAAATATAATATTTTTGAGTCTAATTTATAAATATTTAATTTTCAGATATAACCATAATTTATTTAATTATATTAATAATTTTTTATAAATTTAATGTCAACCGATTGTAACGCAATGTTTGATCGGGTATTCAATTGTTTGGTATTTGCAACGATGACATTGATATTGGCGGCACAGGTATTCACTAGAGTCCCCCAGAGGACAGACCATAACAAAAGTCCGCCAAAAGACAACAACAACAAACCTACGACAACTGAGTTTCCCGATGTTATTGTTGAGCCAATGGACATACCGTTGCGGTCAAAACCGATGAGATTTGGCAAATGATTGATATTGTCGTCGACAAGAAAAACGTTTAATTTTAATATTAAAAAAGGGTAAGAAAACATAGGCTTTTATTTACTGTTTATTATATAGACCTTAATAAATATACATTTATTAAATTTCAATATGTTTTTAGATAAATATTTATAATAAAACATTGGGTTTTTAATCAACGATATTTGAAGACAATAGCAATACATCAATCCTGTATCGCACGTCAAGTGTTAGTTTCAGCTAATTTAGTGCAATACAAGTGACTATTGAATTCAATAAAAATATAATACTGTAATTGAATATTAGTATTATTAATATAAACAATGATATTATATATTAAATATATTAGAAATACAATAAATACTTAATATAAGTTTATTATTGTTATTATTTGACCTGTCAAAGTTATTAGTTAAATGTCAAAGTTAGTATTATATGTAAAAACTAAATATTATTTTATATTTCATATTCTAGTTATAAAGTAAGCTAAATTTAAACTAAACTATAAATATATWWTAATTTATTATATAAACTAATTTAATCATATCATAATACATGTATTGTAATATTCAAATGATTTAAGATATTGCAATGATATAAGAAAATTGTTACCTTAATAAATATAATTGTATTTTATTTATTTCTTAATTAATTAATTTAATTGTAAACATTAATATAAATATTTATCTTACTGTATATGGATATATGATTTACTGTAAATTGATATCACAATATAATAATATTAACTAATATTACGAAATACTTATGACATAAATAATATTTTATATTAAAATATTAAACAATTAATATTTCCAATTAAGTAAAAGCATATTATTTATTATAAAATAATAAAATAATAATTTATTTGATGTATGACTTATTTAATTAAAAATTATATTTGTAAACATTTATAGAAATACCAACTTTTAATATATTTRTTTGTTAAAAATTAAATAAAATATTAACTGATATATAAATCAATCTATTTTTAATAGTCATTTTATTTTTAAATATAAAATTTAAAACTTAATATAAAAGAATATTGATTATTAATTAATAAACATATTAAAACACAACTTTATTTTTATATATAATTATTTAAAATAAAAATATTGACAACACATTTTGTTATATGGCTTAAGCATATAAAAAATAAATTAACAATAAATAAATATAACATAAATATTTGTAATAGTTATAATTAATTAGTATATTATAAATAAGATCACAATTAGTCACACTTTATTTGAAATATAAATTAATTAATTATTAAATATTTATATTTCTATATATAAAGATACAGATTGCACACAATTACAATATATATATATACTGTATTAAATATATTAAATAAGTAATATACAGTATCTTTMAATAAATAAATAATTACAACAATTTGTGARATAAAAAAAATAAATACGAAAACAATACTAAAATTACTTAATCTATTGTATTTATAAATATAAATAGGAAACGATGTAAGAAATTAATGTAAAACATGAAAATATTTGAAACATGAAATTCACATACAAAAAACATTTAAAAAATAATATGGATTATCAATTGATTATATATATATATATATATAATAAATAATGATGTGTTTTTAAAATTTATAACATAATTAATTATACGTCTATTACCATAAAACAAAATTTGCTTTTAAAAACTACTGTTTATTTATCTATTTTATTAATTCATAATTTAAATGAATGTCCACTCATATTATCAWTCAATCAATCATACAGTCTATTGTATTGTGGAATACTGTTTAAGGACTTAACCCCACTTGAATAGACCAGCCCTTTGGCACCGACAGTTTGCTCCCCACATATTACATCTATTATAGAAAACAAAAATAAATTWAAAAACCATTAATAATAATACCATTTAAATGATTAGTGATTGTGTAATATCAGATAAATACAGGGATGTCATACCTGCACACAGAGCTATCGCAACAATCTTCAGGTCTGTGATCACAAGAGGCTCCTCGTCTGACACAACTTCTCCTTAAAATTAAATAAATAGTTTTAATTTTTTTGATGAAAACTTATTTTTAATTAAAATCTATTTTGAATACAGACTTTCTGTTGACAAATAATAGTTTAGCAATGTTTGCATTATAGTCATCGACCAGATCTGATGTTAGGTCACTGTCTGCTGTAAACAAACACCAAAAAAATAGTGTATAAAATTATCAAATGTTAAATAAATTATCAGTAAATTAAATATTTAATTCACAAAAATTATATAAATAAAAATTAGCTTATATTAATTAAATATTATAAAACCAAAAAATAAATTAAAATGTTTRTGTTTGTGTTTGTGTCAAATTGTCAAAATATTAATATTTTTCGTGCAACTAATGAAATAATTTGAAATGAAAACAGAAAAAAATTTAATTATTGTAAAAATGTAATATAATTTGTGTAAACATGGCTTACGCCTAATTGGGTGTTAATTAGAGTTTAAATGACAAAATAAATTAATTTTATTTTCCATTGCAATTTTTCTTATTATTAAAATTATAAATTAAAAATTTCTATTTGTTTTTATCAACATATGCTATTTTTAATTTCACTAATAGTATATACTGTGTATTACAAAATTAACATTACTTTAATATATTAATAATAATATTATTATTATAATAATACTGTATATTCTTATATTATAAATACTATATAATTACACATTTTAATTAAATTGTATGACAATCGATTTAATTAATGTTAATATACAAATTATTGTTGTCAACAAACATACAAAATTTTCTCACTAATTAAATTTTTATTATTTATAAAAGTTTATATTCATATACATATTTATATGATTGGACTAATCAAAATCTAGTTATTTTTTATACTAAGTACTAGTACTCAAATATAATTATATAATTTATTAAAGTAATGTTTTAAGTAAATTTGTCTTAAAAATTTTTAATTTTATAAATATTTGTTATTTTTGAATTATAGAAAATTAAATAAAAATATTAACAAAGACATTTGTGTATTAAAATAATGATATATAATATGTTTACAATTTTTATCCATTTTTATTATTAATTTTTTTTATTAAAATGCATTATAATTAAATTATTGTAAATAAAATTGATTTAAAAATCAAATTTGTTGTTAATATTTGTATTAAGTAAATATAAATATGTTGTTATACATGTTCAAATGTGGAATATTAAAAAATTGTTTTGTATAAAAAATAAACTAGTAAATATAGGAATATAGGAAATATACAGTATATATCAGGGTTAAGCAATGAGGTAGGGGGTAAGGTCAAAATACCCCTCTAAGATCAGGGTTTTAGGATTTTACGCCCAGACTTTTTAACCAAATTAATATATTGTCGCTTAAAATAAGAAGAAATGACTTAAATTTTTATCTAAATTTTTAATTATTTTTTAAAAACTTTTATGAATGTTTTTTACTAATTTTAAGCAAATTAGTTAAAATTTGAGTTTTTATTGATATAACAAATATTTTAAGAAAACTTTATTGGGAATATTAATCTATTTTCCTAGGAATTTACATGGAAATTTTCTTCAATTTAATGAATTTTCTCTTGACACTTGATTTTAGATTTTTGAAAAATTGTGTTTAAAAATCCAATATAGTGTACACTTCACCCTAAAATCAAAAACCTTGCTTAACTCTGATAAGATAAGATAATTTCTGTAATTAATGATTTATGTTAATTTTAAATATTATTTTATATTTATAGAAAGGAGGTGTGGGTGAAAGCCTACAGAATGCACTAAAAATGTTATATAAGTTATTGCCAACAAATTGACATTTTGTTTAACAATAATATATAGTTAACAAATTTATCTAAAATACATTTATTCTACATTTTGTTATTGATTTTTCAATTAAATCTTCTAATTTAATAAAATATTACTATTATTTGATAACAATTATTTGTCTTTTGTTTTTTATATTTTACACTAATGTTTTTATAATAGTAGTGTATAGTGTTTTTATTTTAAAAAATAATAATTTAAATCAATATAAAAATGTTTATAATTTGATTTAATAATATACAGACCACTTGTACTGTAGTATTGACTGGTGGCCAAAGTGTCTACAATTGCCGAAACAATTATCAATAATACAAACAGTCGAGAGATGGATGACTTGGAGGATAAACAACAAGAAGTGACATTTAAGCGACGCATTAGTGATGACATCAATAGAGGCATCGTTTCACCGATAGATTGCTGTCAATTGTAAAACAAAAAAGCTATGATAAGTGTTTGGATAATATATTAATTTTCTGTATATGTTTTATTACTTATGTGTGTCAATCACTTTGTTAAACAAATGACATGTATTTTTCCATAGAAAACAAGTTATTGCATTAACTTTATTTCAATAAGTTATATATATATATATAAATATTTATTACATTATGTATTGAATTTTTGTTTATATCGTAAAATGTTTTATGTCACAGAAAATATGACATTTTATATACAGTACAATTTATAAACTTGAAACTACTGTAAATTATTGTTTTTATTTAATATAATATATTTCTTAAAATATAAAAATATAAAATATAATAAGTATGGTTGATTCATTAATTTTTCTATTATTATTGTAGTAGTATTAAGTTTTTATTTTTATATTTTTATGAAAATGTCTATTATATTACATTTATATCATAAAATTTATTATACAGACAGTATTTGGGAAAAAAATTACATTTATGTTTAGATGAATGTTATAATAAATGACATTTGGATAAATCAATATCACTAGTAAAGTAATTTATGGTATTTATAATTAAAATTCTTATAAATGTATTATTAAATGTTAATAAAAAGTTATCAAATGCTATTAAATAGAAAATAAAGTTCGAAAATTATTAACTTTTAAATAATAAATAATAAAGCTTTATAAACGTTAATTAAATAAACTATTTAAACTTAAAAAACTAAAAAACGATATAAATACATTGTCTTCAGTAAATGCAACAAAAAATAGTAACCATTAAATAACAATAGATTTTTATCCCAACATTTTAGTAGATTAACTTTTTTCTATAATCATTATATATTGCAGATTGTGTTCACACATAATGGTCACTGAATTTTTTCAAGACTAACTTTATTGTGTATTTCACTTATTATAGTCTAACACTAAAACTATTCAATTAGCTGTTAGTTAATAGCAATTGACAATTAGTGATGCATTTTGGGTGAAGACATTGAAGTAATTAATTATAAGCTGTGTTTGTATATACAATATGTATGGTATCTCTGTGTGTGTCTATCATATCTTTTGTAAGTTTAAACAAAGTTTTTTTTAATTATATTCCTATATATTAAAAAAAGACTAATCATTAAACTTTATTTTATTATTACTGTAGACAATATAAAGATGAGATAGAAATTGTAATATAATCATTGTATACAAATAAATTATTTAATCATTAAGATAAAGTAATACTTTAAGTGAACCTATAGTTTAAGAAATAATCTTGATTTATAAAGTTGATAATATCCACACATATATAAAAATGTCTAAATTTTATGTCTAAACAATTAATTATTATTTATATTTACTGTATATTAAACATTAGAAAAAAAGATTCACAATTTCATTTTCAGTTTTAAATTTTAATTAAGACAAATAATATAATAAAAATAAATTTAAGCTATATAAGATTATGGATTGTTTTGTTAGCTAAATCTAATAATTTATTATTTTTATTAAATCTTAGAGATATTAAAATAATTATATTCATATAAATTAAATAATTGTTATTAATGTTTAGATGTCATAAAATTTAATTTATTAATATAAGCTCAGCATGAAATCATTTTATATTTATTATGTTTTTATAGTTATATTTATATCATAAAAAATATTTTAGGAAAAAATTAAATTATTTTAGATCCTAAAGTTTATAATATACAGTATAAAATTTATAATAATGAGATTTACATATTAATAAGGAATTGTTATTTTAATACAATTATTTTTCTTATTTTTATAGGTTTCTAAAAAATATTATTAATAATAATGTACTTTAAATGTATTTTTTTATATTTAAGATAAAAGACTTTAATGTAATATAGATGTTATTTTAAAATAAATATTAAATTTATGTATCATATTAAACATATTGTAACAAGTTTTACATTAAAAATAACTTATAAATAATAATACAGTTAAACTGGTTTATGCAATATATTATTACATAATATTATAATAACATGACTAGATTTATTAAAATTAAAAAATAATAATAAGTTGTATAATGATATTCATTGCATAAATTAACGTCTGTCTCAATGACGTAAATTTTAATAATAAAAACTAAAAACTAAATTTTTTAATTAATTAGATAAACTATTAATGAATATTGAAAAATTCATTCAAATAATAATAATATATTATATATGAATAAAATTTAATTATAAAATAAAYATATTTTCTATCAAATAATGTTATCACAAGTTTTATAATGTAATAAAATAATCTAATTATTTTTTAAAAATAACGATCGACTAAACAAAATTGTCACAATTTAACGACCCTATTGTCGACTAATTGATTTGCTAATTATGTTATTTTGTGTTATTTTTAAATGAAATTACATTACTAGACTATATATAATAAATATAATATATACGTATTTATAAATATATTTGTAAACAATAATTATAAATTTTTTATGATATAAAGGGATGCAAAGTATTTTGTATATCGGTATAAAATAACTTTATTATCAACTTAATTAAATTAATTGTTTTATTTTATTTTTAACAATATATATAATGACACAATATAATATGGTTATATTAATAGTATATTTTAGGTTTTTACACATTTTTGGTAATCTATTTGATATTTTGAGATTTAATTTTACTTTTTTATGTCTAAAATCTTACATAAGTAAACATCAAATAAATTATTAGAAAATATTTTATTTTTTATTGTTGTCTATAATTATTTGTCTCAATTTATTCAGCAAAAGTGTCCAATAAAATAACGACTATATAATAGAAAAATGATGTATATATTATAAAATAACATTTTATTATTATATCTTTTGGGACATATTTATGACATTTAATGTGTAATGTTTTTATTATTATTTTCAACAAATTTTCTATAAAAGCAAATATTAATTTATTACTTCAGTATCTTTTGCTGTAATATAATAATATTAGACAAAAATATTTTATTGAGAATAGATGTGCTATTAATAAAAATATTGTAATTTATTATGAAAACTACTTAATATTTTTATGTAATTATATAAGTTCTAATATGTTTAGTAATTAAATATTTATAATAAGATAAAATAACTTTAATAGTGTAATTATGACTTTACTGTATGTAACTGTTTTATTACATACATTATGTGCGGTCTAAACACTTAAAGATATACTAAATATATATTAACAATGGTTTACCCATACTATAGAAAAATAGTTATAATTTTTTGGCAGTTATCTAATATTAATTTATAGTTTTAACAATATAAATTTATATAATAACATTAGTATATAACATACAGCTATCATATAAGTAAGCTATAGATAAATATTTTATCTGTTATTTAGCGGACCATTGATTACATCAACATTCAGGATATAACTATTAATAAAAACAATTATTTTCATTAAACACTTTTATATACTTTACTTATCATATATGATATAAATCATAATAAAACATGAGAATCACTTATTATTTCATTTCACGCCAATATTATATAAAACAAATACATTTATTGATAAATAATAATAAATGAAAATTTCTAATTAAATGTTTCTTAACATTTGTACAATAGATGTGTTGTGTGAGTTAAGCTGATTACTAGATATAAAGGAAATAAGGAAAACACAGTTATGTTGGCTTAGAGGACATCACACAAGTGGGCAGTGATTGGATTGCAATAAGAAAATAAGGTCGGGCTATGACTTAACAACAATATCTATACATCTCTAATAAATTAAGATTTACTGTACATTTATACAACTCTCTCTCTCTCTCTCTCTCACTCACTCACTCTCTATCTGTCTATCTCTCTCTCTTTCTCTCTCTCTCACTCTCTMTCTWTCTCTCTCTCTCTCACTCTCTATCTTTCTTTCTCTCTCTCTCTCACTCTCTATCTTTCTATCTCTCTCTCTCTCTCTCTCTCTCTCTCTCTCTCTCTCTCTCTCTCTTCTCTATCTATATATATATATATATATATATCTCTTTATCTCTCTCTATCTATCTCTCTATCTATCTATTTATCTCTCACTCACTAACTCACTCACTGCCTTATTCACTCATTAAAACCCAAACAGAGAGAGAGAGAGAGAGAGAGAGAGAGAGAGAGAGAGAGAGAGAGAGAGAGAGAGAGAGAGAGCGATTCAATCTTTCCTATTCTATCACTTACTTACTAACTCCACATTATAAGCACTGGGATGTAAATAATTAAGTAGACAAAACCAGCCAACAAAATACTAACACTACTGTTGTTGTTATATAAACCGTAAGATTACAGTGCCTTCAGTTAGTCAATCATATTATATAATAAATGAGTCGTAAATAAACGGTTTTGTTTAGTTGACTAACCATTTTTGTTGCACTAAACAATGCTTATAAAATAATACAATTATAATACTAATATACTGTATATTGTGTGTCCAATAATAATGATGAACACTACTAATAAATGCAATGAACTAATAATAAAAAAAATCAAAAAAAAAATTATTTAGATTTATTTTTTCAATTCAAATGATGACAAATAAAAAAAACTAAATTTAATGCAAACAACAAATGTTGTCATTTAATTTTATTGACACAAACACTACTGTACTAAACAAACACTTGTTGATTGAATTCACTGCTTAAATGTGAATATTGAGATGTAATTAGCATTTATTTTATAATATTTACTAAAAATATTTATAAATCGAGCGCTAATTGAGATTTATATAACTTTATATATATATATATATTTTTTTTATTGCTAATCAAATTGACATTTATTTATCTACATTTGTCATCTAATTTTCACATATAATTCAATGCTCATTGTCCTAAATCTTATATCTTTATATTATTACTACTTTATTAGTAGTAATTGTTTATTGTTTAATGTCAATCGTGAAAGTAATTATATGCCATATATCTTAGTCTCGTTGATTGGCATAACTGACCATTGGTTTTATATTACAAACAACTCAGATGACAATACAACTAAAATAAATGACATTTTACTGTTATTAATAATACGACAAACATATTGTATATATTTGTTTTCTTCAATTAATATTGAATTTCAATTTCTATTATAATAGAGTAAAAAAATATTCTCTTATTTCAAATAATACCGAAAATAGCTTTTATTTTATTTACATGTTTTATCGGTCGGTAATCTTTAATTCATTTAAATACATCAATTTATATGTATGAATATACTGTACTTGTATTACAAATCTTTTGTAAAAATATATCAATAAATAGTACAGTATTTTGAATAAAATAGTCTTTCATTAGATGCTTAACTTTTTCTGTTATTACTTTTTAACAAATAAATCACTAAAATGCTATAATTTATTGACTATAGATTTTGAGTATTTTTTGTTGTTAGTGCTATAAAATAGTTGTGACAAATATCGATAAAAATGTATTTTAGATTAAAAAATTGAAAATTTTATATCAAAAGTAAGTCACAAAATTTAAACTTTAGATTAACTTTAATTCAGTTTATTTTTTATATTAACGTCAATTTGAAAATATATAAAATATTATCAAATAAAGTTTTCTTATAAAAGCTGAAATAAATTGAAATTATTTTATATAAATTCCAGACACAATTATTTAATATATATTAGATTGTGTAATAGATGAAATTATATAATTATAAATATTTTAACAATTAAATTATTGTTTAAATATAAAAAACTTCTATTAATTAAATTATAATAACTTAAATAAATTAAATAAATTAACAATATACACGCTAATAAATATTACAGCTCATTGGTAAACATAATCAATAATTTTTTTAGCAATTTATGTAAGTTATGAAACATAATATAAATACATTGATAATAAAGTACCGTATATTGCGATCTAATTTCGAGATTATGGCAAATAACTAGTTATGACAATAATATTACTTTATATTGTCGTCAATATTAGCCCATAATATCAAAAAATATTTTATTAATACAAATCAACTCTTGACTTAAAGTTAGCGCAAATTCTGTTACAAATGATATTATTTTTATGACATTTAAATATTTACATTAAAATCTCACGTTTACATCATTAGTATTATGTATTTTCAAAATATATTTTTTCAAAATAAATAAGGATATAATACATTGTTTGGATTAGACATGAATAAAAAATATCAATTTTTATAAAAGTCAACATTTGTTGTAAATAAAATTATCTAGATAAACAAATCACATTTAATGGAAAATCATATTTTTATAAAAATTGAAAACTTAAATTAAGCTATTTATTTATTTATTTCAAATAAAACAAATATAAACAATTCAAAAATTATTTAATTAAAAATTATAGTATTTAAAAATATGTATATATTATATTTTTAATTAATAAATAATTAAACATAATGAACATTAAATAAATGATGCTATGAATTAAAATTATGTTTCCAATAATTATAATACTTACATTGTTATGGCTGATAAATTTTTATTAAACTATATAATCTAATTATAATCACAAATTTCTAAACTTTTTTCTTTGTGTTTAAACTTTTTAAAATAACTTTACTGTATATACAGCATAAAAATTTTCCAAAACTCTCTCTCTCTCTTTCTCCAAAAAAACTGGTTGAGTATTGCAGTGAAATGCTATTTAAGTATAGCTGTGATCCCTATCCACCACTGACTCCCTGAAGAAACACATACAGAGAAAGCTGTGGGAAAGTGAGCAACGCATGCCTTTACATTGGTTTGTCTACTTTTACTACCAGTGCTATTCTACTGTATTCAATAGTGATAGTTTGATAGTATAATGGCAATAGATTAGTTAGAATTTCAATAATAATATTTTTTTTGTGACCAATAAGTGCCAAAATATTGCTTCAATTAATGACAACTATATTTAAACATATTCAGTAAAAATATTATATATGATATATTATTAAGGAAATCGTTTACTTTGTAATCAGATAATACTGGTGCCAGATTTTAGGGCCAACACATACAATCAAATGTTTTCTCTATACATTGTATATGTAGTGAAATACGGGTAGAGTTATATAATAAATAATATTATTGTGCACAACGTGTGAAATATCGTATAATATGATATTAATTTAAATGATAAATGAGTTTTTTTATATGAAAAAACTTTTAGTTTAAGAAAAATAAAATATAATGGGACAGTCATGTGTTTACAAATACAATACTGTATATATGCCCACCAGTGATGTGTATAACACTTATTATTATTAAATATTATTTGTGTTTGCGCTCAATCAAAGGCTCCCACTCTTTGTAAAGGGAAACGGGTCTACAAAATACTGAAATAAAACTAAATTAAATAAAAGAGAAAATAAATTAAAATTTCTATATTTGTCTGTATGTTTTCAGTAACATAAATACACAAACATAGACACACACACACACACACACACACACACACACACACACACACACACACACACACACACACACACACACACACACACACACACACACACACACACACACAAACACACTCACTCACACACACACAAACAAACACTGTATTACACACACAAGTTGTGACACAACCATCCCTTTTGTTATTATAATAACTTTATCCGACAGCCATTTAGTATAAAAATTTAATTTAATATTTGTTAATAAATAAGTATAAATTAATTTAATAATAAAAAACTCCTTTTCTTTATTGAAATAAATAATAAAATTATTCAATAATAAGTTTAAGTTTACATTTCCCGTAAATTTTGCTTTTTTATCTAATATTATATATGCTTCAAATGTCAGACACAATTCTCAATTATTTACGGCTTTTAAATGCAGATTCAATAAACAAAAATTGTTTAAGTATTATAAATAATATATTTAATTTTAAATCATTTAAACTTAATGCTATGTTGACTTTACAAATTTTATGTTTGAATTAATAGAGTTTATTTAGTTTAATATAATAATAATAGTTATAATATTATTTATAAAATAATTTAAATAAATTTTACATTTTTATATATTATAAAATATTAATTTTAAATCAAAGATAATAATTTCTTTCTAAGAATACAAAAATTGATATTAAATAATAAATGTAAAACTTATTTTTGTTTTAAGTATTTTATTTTAATTATTAGCTTACAATAGTATTATACTGTATTACACAAAATAATTACTAAATACAATAAATTATGTTTGAATAAAAATTATTGTTTTGTGAAATAAAATTACCAGGTTAATCAATTTTATTTTAATTAACAACATTTTAGACTAAATACTTAATATTATGTTAACTAACAAACTAATTATTATTCATTAAATTTGATTATTTAGTTAATTTAACTTTTTAGTAGAAACAGACAAAGTGTACCACTTCTTGGATTTTTCAATAAAAAAAATATTTTTATATTCAGTTATAATAATTGACTCAAACATTTGTTTCATGTTTTTTTGTTTCAATGGAAAAACTGGAGGCAATGTGTTATAATGAGATAAACTTCAAGTCATTTATGAGATTAAATATGTCAGCCACGGGGTATTGAGTCAGATATACAGTGATGTAATCATCATTTATTACTTTTTTAACAATATATATACTAATACTATAGTATAYATATTGAATATATAACATTATTTTTTTACTTTAAGTTTTATAATGTTAAATATAAGTTTAATATGCATACATTTAATTAAATTAATAAATATAATAATAATAAATTAGTAATAATACAATACAATGATAATATATTGTTATTGTAATATTATAAATACTTGAGATAAGATTAGATAATTTTAAGTAATTTTTGTGAACACATATTTAAATTATATATTAAATTATAATTATTTTTATTCTTAATTATGACTTATATATGATATATATTGCTTTACATCATTAATGCATAATAACATAAATTTACTGACAAAAATCATTTTATAAAAATTTATTATTAGTATTTTAAATGAATTGTTTTTGTAGTAAATAATATATATTAAATTTGTAATAAAAAATTTAATATTGTACGTGTCATGAAAATCTTATATAAAAGTCATATAAACCCTTATACAGTTAAAAAGTGTTTTAAAATATATATTCACAATAATAAACAAAACAAATAAAATCCATTATTATATAAAGTCTATAAAACTATTTTGAAATCTTGAGCTAAATTTTTTTTAGTATCAATGAAAATACTTTGTATCGTATATATGCAATAATACCATCAAAACATTTTTTAGATAAAGTATTGGCTGTACTGTACTTTACTTACTAGTGTTTGTTCAAAGCTTTTATTATTTTATTTCAATAAATAWATATATCTATATAAACTTTAAATAATATTTCATTTTATCATTCATACTATACTGTATCATATCATACCATAATATGTGTTATAATAAACAAGCTTATATTATATCAACTTTTCAATAATAATAATAAGCATTATTATATTTATTGAAGATATATTTAATAAATTTAATTTTAAAGTAATATAACATTAATATTGTGTTAATAAATAATGGATTGTTATCTTTACTCAATTCCCTCAAATTAATAAAAACATTACTTTTATAACTACAGTATATTATTAGAGTAACATATCTTTTTTTGTTTATTATACAATAAAAATCTTTTATTTTTACTATTATTTTTACAAATTATCATTTTATTTTTAATATATTTATATATTTTAAAAATGAACAAAAAAATAAAATAATATTCTTATTATAGTGGAGTGCAGTGATATTACGGAATAATAATATTGCAAAATAACATTAAATATTTAATATTATTTTTTATAAGCAATAAAATATACACATTGTATGTATATTTCATGCGTCTTGAATACAAATTTACTTATTTATCATTTTTGATTCATAAAATTGTTTATAATATTACATTACGTGGTATTTAGGATTTCAAATGGACTAAAAATTAAAGCATCAAATTTAATGTTAGAGAATACTATGTTTATTAAAATACAAGGACACACAYCAGTAATGTGGAGCATATATATTGATAAAATATATCATAACAACATTTATTCAACTTTAAACTTATTGTCTGTTTTTTATATCAAATATATGTTTACTCTCTCTCTCCTCTCTCTTTCTCTCTATCTCTTATATATATGTGTTTATTTTTTTACCAACATTTACTACTAACAATAAATTGCAACCCATATGATGTCATTTATATAAATGTATTGTTCAATGATATAAACACTATATTGATATTATACACACCAAAAGTCACATAACAACTATTATTACATATTTTGTGTCTAAATATAAAATTATGAGTCTTTTGGTTATTCTGCGAAAACATCGTTAACATTATGATCACTGATATCTTTTGAGACTTATATTTAAATTGATTGTGTGTTTTCACTTGAATTTAGTTGATTTAATATATTATGACATCAAATAAATAGGATATTATTTTAATAATTTAATATATTTTTTAGTAATTTATTATAAAATTATAAAATATTTATTTATTTATAAATTGTTTATAAAATACTTTAATAAATATACATAAAACATTGTTAAAAAGTTTAAATTTATTAAATATATATATATAATTAATTAATAAAATTATAATTAAATAATAATTAAAAAGTAATAAATTTCTATAAAACGTACAATTCTTATAATTAAAATATATATATAAATAATCTMWAAAAAATTTTATTTAATATTTCTTATTTAATTTATTTATATAACTGTGTATTTATATTGTCATTTAAATATTGATATTTTTTAACTGAACTTTTGCTTTATTTATTGAATGTTAAAATCACAAAAATSTCAATTTCTCACAAAATGATTGACTAAACAACATATTGTATATGATTTGACATTTATCAAAGTTATCTGTTTAAAACAGTTATTAAATTTCAATTTTCACTGTGTGTTAGACTTTTTAAAAAATAATACAATTGATAATTTTGTACTGTTTTTAAGGATTATAAATCTATAAATATCTTAAATAAAATAAATAATATACGATATTATTTGAGATCTTGTAGTTGTAATTGGAAATTGAAAAATAATTTTTTATTTGAAAATATTTTATAATTATACTACAAGTGAATTGCTTTATGATATCGATAGGGTTTTTAGTGACCATTATTTAGGATAGATATATGTTTGAAAAAATAATTTTTTACATTATTATTTTTWWAAAAATATACTAATGTACTGAATTGTCGAAATGGTTATCCTGTATTTTAAATCCTATATAATGATGATAGCCTACACCTCACTGAGTCCCCCAATAACATTCACATATCTCTACCATCTCTGCAATTTGAAATATTCAACTTTAAAGTCGAAAATAAAATTAACATTTTATATTAATATAAGACATAGTATAGTGCAGGTATAGTAGAGATATGTAAATTGTATTTGGGGGGGGCTCAGGGGGTGTAGGCTATCCTGACTATTCGGGATTTAGAATTCCTAAAAAACATGAGACCATTTCGGTAATGAGTTATTTGTATATTACTATACTTTAAAAATATTTTACAATTTGATTAATTTGAGATAAATAAGTTTATAATTAATTAATACAGTATTTTAATCCATATTTATATAAATATAAGACAAAAAATTTATTGTGTTT